CTACACCACTCACAGAGACATGTCTACATATAGGTACACCACACACAGAGACATGTCTACACATAGCTACACCACACACAGAGATATGTCTACATATAGCTACACCACACGAAAAGACAAGTCTACATATAGCTACACCACACACAGCGACATGTCTACATATAGCTACACCACACACTGAGACATGTCTACACATAGCTACACCACACACAGAGACATGTCTACATATAGCTACACCACACACAGAGATATGTCTACACATAGCTACATAACACAGAGATATGTTTACATATAGCTACACCACTCACAGAGACATGTCTACATATAGCTACACCACACACAGAGACATGTCTACACATACCTACACCACACACAGAGATATGTCTACATATAGCTACACCACACACAAAGACAAGTCTACATATAGCTACACCACACACAGCGACATGTCTACATATAGCTACACCACACACTGAGACATGTCTACACATAGCTACACCACACACAGAGACATGTCTACATATAGCTACACCACACACAGAGATATGTCTACATATAGCTACACCACACACAAAGACATGTCTACATATAGCTACACCACACACAGCGACATGTCTACATATAGCTACACCACACACAGAGACATGTCTACACATAGCTACATCACACAGAGACATGTCTACATATCGCTACACCACAGACAGAGATATGTCTACACATAGCTTCACCACAGACAGAGATATGTCTACACATAGCTTCACCACAGACAGAGATATGTCTACAAATGAGACAAGCGTGCATGCTCCCTGTTCACATAGCTACACCACACAGAGACATGTCTACACATAGCTCCACCACACAGAGACATGTCTACATATAGCTACACCACACACAGCGACATGTCTACATATAGCTACACCACACACAGAGACATGTCTACACATAGCTCCACCACACAGAGACATGTCTACACATAGCTACACCACACAGAGACATGTCTACACATAGCTACACCACATAGAGACATGTCTACACATAGCTCCACCACACAGAGACATGTCTACACATAGCTACACCACACAGAGACATGTCTACACATAGCTACACCACATAGAGACATGTCTACACATAACTCCACCACGCTGAGACATGTCTACACATAGCTACACCACACAGAGACATGTCTACACATAGCTACACCACATACAGACATGTCTACACATAGCTCCACCACACAGAGACATGTCTACACATAGCTACACCACACAGAGACATGTCTACACATAGCTACACAACACTCATTCACATGATACCCATACACCCACGCCTTCAGTCCATCTGGCCATCACTGCTGCAATTGCACTTTTTAAGCAAAGATTACATGAAAATCTCTTTCAGTCATGGCAAGCATCCTTCCATGCGAATCATAAGTGTTTTTACTATAACCAGTTTAAATCACTTTTAAACATTGAGAAGTATTTACGCATAGGACATTTGAGAACATGCTATTCTAGATATAGATGTTGCAGTTTCGAACTTGCTGTTTGAAAATATAAGAAAATATAATTTATTATGAAAGATACGTTATGTCATGCAAGATTAAAGGTTATTTTGCTGTTAAAGACTGTATGTCATTCCAACTCTGAATTGAGAAACAAGTTCAGTGAAAATGTTTTAGTAAATATCCTACAATTAACAATTATATTTTTATCATGCGGAGTATGAGTACAATAATATTATCAGAAATGTCAGTCTATTCCTAAGGCGCCGCGATTTGCTGTGCAGAGTTGCGTCCCTGGACACGCCAGAAACCTATGATTGTAGGTTCGAATCCTGGTTCGCCCCGATTATGTTTCTAAATGTGTCAGCACCAAACCCGCGCTCGTGGGTTTCACCGAAGTGGTAAACGTCTGAGACCTGCATCACCTCGGGCTTTCCTCCCACATTAAACTGACACGCCGTGATATAACTGGAATACTGTTAAAAGCGGCGTTAAAATCAACTCACTCACTCACTCCTATATCATAACAATAAAAAGGAAACACCCAGTTGTAAATGGTTTAAAATGCGCATGCATAATCATGCTTTTGTATGTATTTTGGGATGGAGGCTTTATACTGAATAAAAGTGTCTGTCAGTCTCTCCATCACTGACCCCATCAGGACCATGTGTTACAGCAACATCACCTACACCTGAGTTACCTGCCTAATGAAACAGGGACAGATTACACTTCCTCCCTTAAGCAATATTCCATCGATGGCGTTACTTCGCTTCCAGCTAATCGTTTCCTCATGGTCACACAGGAGGAAGTCGGGGGAACGTACCGTGTGTTACATACGGCGTCCGCCAGCAGCAGGGCTGATGTACATTCCAGCCACACAGACAGCGCATTTCTGGAGGTTTAAAAGGGTTTCCTATGTAACGTAGCGGTTCTCATACGTCGTATTTAACATAACGGTTCTCACTAAAGAGCCGAATGATGATGTGACGTCACACTCTACAGACTAATAGCAAGTAATAGCAAGTGCTGGATAACGGTCCGAGCACCTGTTGCCGAAACGTCACGTACAGAGGATAAAAAACGTGACATGAACTTTTAAATGTCACCTGAACAGTCTGCATATATGAATTTCTAACGTGACATGTTCACGTGGTGATCTGTGTGTTGTGTGTAACATACACGTTTTTGTGTGCTGGGACTTATATAAAGACTACAAATTTACAACGAACAAAAGCAAAGTTAAGAATAGAATTTAACCAGAATAAAAACTTAGTTAAACATGAACTGTGTTTCTGACACTATTCCGGTCGCAACATCCTAGATGAAGTACGCTCTGTAACTCTCATCAAACCTTTATGTCCAACACTATCAGCGACCTTTCATTCAGATTCTGCAGCCCTACCCTTGCCTTGCATCCATCAGCCTGACATCTCGTCTCTGAAATGAAAATATTTTACAGAAATAAAAATGTTAAATTATCTTAAAATATAACAAAAGGGAGCCAAGATACTTTCTTCATTTCCTAGACCTGCCAGCTATTATAGACTTGCACAGGCTGTATTGGATATGTTTGTTTCAGGGTCGGTATGACAGAATAGCGCCGATATTAGGTTATGATCATGGTTAAACACAAATAAGTATAAAAGGGAAGTATTTAGGTAACCCAGGTCTCTGAGCCGAACAGGGATGAGTCAGGCTGTCATAGCTGAGAATATAATGGGGGTGGTCGTTTTATTGAATAGATGATCCGGGGTCTGTAAAATCATACACATCAGACAGCATGTAGGTGTATTTAGTAATAGTAGCCTTTGTCTGTGACACGAACATGAGTATCGTATTCGACGTAATAAGCGCCCCGCTCTAATAAGCGCCCACGGCGATATATTTGCTAATATATTGGCAAGTGAACAATCCCAATTAGCACCGCTTCCAATTGATCAATGTACCCAAGACTTATTTATTCGTGTATAATACGCACTCGTGTGTTACATGCACCCTTAATTGTGGGCAATTAAATTCTGGAAAAAATTATCTGTCGTATATAAACAGTTCAGGCCGTCAGCATAAACCATGAAATTTAGCTTTCAACTCTGTTTTTTCCACCAAAATAATAGTCTGATAAGAGCCCCCTATATCTAATTTTGAGAGCGCCCTGGGCGCTTATTACGTCAAATACGGTATCTATTATCTTCTCTCGTCAGTGACCGTGTGCTGTATTCAATCTGTCCTCGTTGAACCTTTTTGTGCAACACTATCAGCGACCTTTCATTCAGATTCTGCAGCCCTACCCTTGCCTTGTACGGATATTTGGAGTGACGCTGTTCGTGCCCTTAAAGCCGGTAATGTACCGTCAGCGTTTGACAAGTGATCTTTCTTGGGACAAACACTACTAGAACTACATGTACCACAACTAGAAGTACATGTTATTGAACTAGAATTACATGTAACACAACTAGAAGTACATGTTATTGAACTAGAATTACGTGTTCCTATGTCACGCAGTTATCGTGGTGGTATTTTCTTGGACCAGAGCACATCTATCTATCTATCTAGGAATGTGTGTGTGTGTGTGTGTGTGTGTGTGAGAGAGAGAGAGAGAGAGAGAGAGAGAGAGAGAGAGAGAGAGAGAGAGAGAGATAATACCAAGGAATATTAGCCATTGTTACAATTAACATTTTCGATAAATTCACAGGATCAAAATGCCCGGTTAATATGGAAATCAGGGTTAGAATTGGTCGTAAGAGGCGACAAACGCGATCGGGTGGACAGCTGTAGATCGGTGTTCATGATATCAAACGCGGTATTTTCTTGTCCAGACTCAATTACTTGCAAACCGCCGTCATAAAGCTGGAACAGTGCTGAGTGCGGCGTTAAATAACAAACAAACAAACAAACATATCAATAGACGACATTGATTGATATGTGGAGTGAGTATGTTATAGATCTCTATACAGGCTGTCTTTTTCTAGTCGAAAAAAAGAAGAATTTTAAGGATAGCGTGACGCTTTGTTCTCGTAACTAAGGACATTATTCCTTACGTATTTGTGTGTGTGAAATGCGAAACCTATACAAAGTGTATAGAGAGAGATTGTGTCTTTATATAACAGGGTTAGGGCTAGATAGTACATGGATTGATGGGTAGTTTAGTACGCTAACGCGAGGCAGGCAAGTTTTCTACATCAGGTCGTAGTCCTTTGATGATTATAGATTTTGTGCATATGCATCCCTCGTTAATCATGAAATATCGTTCCACTGGCCATTCGTGGATTCGATGTGCTTAATGGGTATCGGTAATAAAGAAGGGTTTTGATCGCCCACTAACAGCAATCTGTATTGTTCAATCAAACTGCCACGTCATTAGATTTTATGAGGCTTGTGGGTGACGCTCTTCTGCTGAAGATGCTTGTGTGTTCAACAGGCGGCTGTGTCTGGCTGATCAATATTAGCACGGAGAGAACCTACATGCCTGTCGCTGCCCGCCGAGCTGGACTAAACTAAGCGCGCACACTTATATATCAGTGAATCCGCAAATAGTCTCATCGCTTGGTGCGAGCCGTTCGCTTGCTGCGCAAACAAGCCGTGTTGTATTCTGGTCGTCGCCTAATGTATCAGTAGCGACGGTAGCATCCTCTGAGCACCATCTGCCTTTCGGACCGTCCATCTCCACCTGGACACGACTTCGTCATCAACATAACCCTCCACCACGGCAGTGTCGATGTAGACCGAGCCGATTCTAACAAGCAGGCGAGAGTGTGGCACCTGACTCACGCGCGCCGCTATTGACCTAGCCCATAGATTATCATAAATATTGCACATTGCTATGGTAACCGGGGGCTGAGGCAGCTTGTCAGTGGGCAATGTCATAATGGACGAGACTCCACAACCCGCCATGGAGAACCCAGCACGGCCACACCCGGTGAAAAGGTAAGTGAGGGGGTCAAGTGGGTGGTTGGGAGGGTATGCGGGTCCCCCGGAGATGCGAGGAATCGGTGGGAGGAGGGGGATTTGATGAGGCCAGGCCGTCACTTCCAGGGCCATCCCGTCACGTCTCACGGCTAGCAGAGACCGGCAGTGTGGGGGAGCGGGCGTCTTCACTAGCTCTTCCTTACACTTACACGTGTGTATATTGTATATAGTATGTCTTGAGATGACAGTGAAGTAGCTTGGAGCCCGCCACACCCTAATGTTGTTCCTGGACTCGTCAGGTGTGGCGGACATTCTCTTCATCTAGTTCGTCCCATACGCATGTCGGCCACGTTCGCCCAGCCACCCGCGGTTAGCTCCCCTTCATCACTTAGCTAGCTCCAAACTGCGTCGACCCTGTTTGTAGGGTACCTTCTCTATAGATTCCGACAATATTTCGTTACAAGACGGGCGTTGTTTCATTCCTTAACCCCTTATATATACCATACATGCAAGGCATGCGTTTATTCCGGAAACTTTCTCCGATTGACACCCATATCTCTGTTCCCTGTGCCATATTTCCTGTATCAGTTCAGGGTGTTGTCCTGTCCACATCGGTGCCACACCATCGCAAGTCTGCATTCCGATTCTACACGATAACACAACACAAAACATGCATTCCGATCTGGAATGCAACCGAGCAGCGTCTACACTACAACCAGTGTAAGAAATACCTCAAATCTACAACTGGCTAGACGGACCTCTAGCGCATAGATAGAACCATTCCAAGCCGCTAGACAACACTGATGGAGATGCCTTGTCTACAATGTCAGCGTTCCTGTTACCATTATGCGTTTCCCCCGTGGGAATTTCGGAATACATTTCGTCCCCAGCAACGTATGGTGGTAAGCGGCGACTTTCGGGGTCGGTGATCAGGTTCGATGATTTTGTTGATTACCTGTCATCTACCCCGACAGCATGGATCGATGCTCATAATATCAGTCACTGGATTGTCAGGTCGAGACTCGATTGTGTCATATAGATTGCGTATTACTGAGAGGGGCGTTGAACAACAAACAAACATAATATCTTGAGGCGAAAAGCAGTGTTTACAGCTGGGCGTATGTAACTGGGCGGACGGGCTAGACGAATCGAGTGATTAGTTGTCGCCTAAGGTATTGGTGGTCACGTACATGCGTCACGTAGAAAGCTGAATACAACACTGTGTACAACACACCGGTATGTACAAGATAACACATGTGCAAGTCAAACCCACTCACCACTGTGTACGGTTGAGTGTCTCTGTATCAGCATCAGTGATCACAGCGAAACAAATTATATCATATATCGCCGTAGTTACAGTACTACACGACGTTTTTTACAATACTACTCGACAATATTCACAGAACTAATCGAAAGTATATAACGTAACAGTTTTATACACTACCACACGACTGTATGTACAGTGCAAAACGACAGTATATACAATACAACATAACATTATATACTATACACCTTAACAGTATATACAATACAACACGACAGCCTATGCAACATAACATTATATACTATACAACATAACAGTATATACAACATAACAGTATATACTATATAACATAACATTATGTACAATACAATGTAACAGGATATACTATATGACATAACCGTATATATACAATACAAGATCACGGTATATAAAATGCAAACGACATTATATACAATATACAATAATGGTATATACTATATATAACGTAACAGTATATACAATGCAAAACGACGTTATATGAAATACAACACAACAGTTGTTTTGTTTTGTTTGTTTGTTGATTAACGCCGCACTCAGCAATATTCCAGCTATATGACACCGGTCTGTAAATAATCAAGTCTGGACCAGACAACCCAGTGATTAAAATCATGAGCATCGATCTACGCAAGTGGGATACGATGACATGCATCAACCAAATCAGCGAGCCAATACAACACAACGAGACAGTAAATACTACACAGCATAACATGGTATACAACACAACAATATAAACAATAAAACATAACAGTATTTACAATACCTCATGGCAGTAAATACCATACAACATAACCGTATATACAATACCTCACGGCAGTAAATACCATACAACATAACGGTATATACAATACCTCACGGCAGTAAATACCACACAACATAACAGTATTTACAATACCACACGAAAGTACATACCATACAACATCACAGTATTTACAATATCACACGACATTTAATACCATACAACATAATAGTATATACAATACGACATAACAGTATTTACAATACCACACGGCAGTAAATACCATACAACATAACAGTATTTACAATACCACACGATAGTAAATACCATACAACATAACAGTATTTACAATATCACCCGACAGTAAATACCATACAACATAACAGCATTTACAATACCACACGGCAGTAAATACCATACAACATAACAGTATATACAATACGACATAACAGTATATACAATACCACACGATAGTAAATACCATACAACATAACGGTATATACAATACCACACGAAAGTACATACCATACAACATCACAGTATTTACAATATCACACGATAGTAAATACCATACAACATAACAGTATTTACAATATCACACGGCAGTAAATACCATACAACATAACAGTATTTACAATACCACACGGCAGTAAATACCATACAACATAACAGTATTTACAATACCACACGATAGTAAATACCATACAACATAACAGTATTTACAATATCACCCGACAGTTAATACCATACAACATAACAGTATTTATAATACCACACGGCAGTAAATACCATACAACATAACAGTATTTACAATACAACATGACAGTATATACAATACCACCCGACAGAATATACCATACAACATGACAGTATATACTATGCAACATAACAGTATATACAACACGACAGTATGTACAATACAACACATATACAATAAAATAATTATAACACATAAACACAACAACCAAATACACCACACAACAGTCACTAATGACACAATAATGCAACAGGACAATGCAACGTAACACAACACTGAAATACAACAGCATACCGCAGCTCGGGGGAGTATAACACGGGACAAAAATACAACACAACATCCAGAATAACACGTTGGCTAGATATCGTCAATTGTGAAATTACTTAAATAAACCGAATATATACCGAATAACAAGGACAAGCCCAGGAAGCGACATGACACTGAGAACATGTTGCAGATAGGAATATGAACATATAATACCTTTTTGTTTTGTCATAAATGTTTGATTGGGCTTGGATACATATCAATAAGCCGGGGTCTTGAAGCATATTGATCTTATAAGTACCGAGTGGCAGCGGTGTAAAACATGTGTAGACAGAATCGGAAAGGTCAATTATTGATGTGACATGTAACTAGCGATGTGCAGGGTGTCGAGTTGACAGACAAGTGCAATATTGATGTAACGCGACTCTAACTAGCAATGCATTGGGTACAGAGTGCACTGTTGATGTGCCATGTAACAAGTGATAGCGTTTAATAACATGTTGAGATGACAGACAGATGTACTATTGGTGTTGAACTAGCATGTATCAAGAGTAGAGATGAGAGACAGGTGCGTGGCTGATGTTAAACTAGCGTGTATCAAGAGTAGAGATGAGAGACAGGTGCACTAATGGTGTTAAACTAGCATGTGTCGAGGGTAGAGATGAGAGACAGGTGCGCTATTGGTGTTAAACTAGCATGTGTCAAGAGTAGAGGTGAGTGACAGGTGCGCTATTGGTGTTAAACTAGCATGTGTCAAGAGTAGAGATGAGAGACAGGTGCGCTATTGGTGTTAAACTAGCATGTGTCAAGACAAGAGATGAGAGACAGGTGCGCTATTGGTGTTAAACTAGCATGTGTCAAGAGTAGAGATGAGAGACAGGTGCGCTATTGGTGTTAAACTAGCATGTGTCAAGAGTAGAGATGAGAGACAGGTGCGCTATTGGTGTTAAACTAGCATGTGTCCAGAGTAGAGATGAGAGACAGGTGCGCTATTGGTGTTAGACTAGCATGTGTCAAGAGTAGAGATGAGAGACAAGTGCGCTATTGGTGTTAAACTAGCATGTGTCAAGAGTAGAGATGAGAGACAGGTGCGCTATTGGTGTTAGACTAGCATGTGTCAAGAGTAGAGATGAGAGACAGGTGCGCTATTGGTGTTAGACTAGCATGTGTCAAGAGTAGAGATGAGAGACAGGTGCGCTATTGGTGTTAAACTAGCATGTGTCAAGAGTAGAGATGAGAGACAGGTGCGCTATTGGTGTTAGACTAGCATGTGTCAAGAGTAGAGATGAGAGACAGGTGCGCTATTGGTGTTAAACTAGCATGTGTCAAGAGTAGAGATGAGAGACAGGTGCGCTATTGGTGTTAGACCAGCACGTGTCAAGAGTAGAGATGAGAGACAGGTGCGCTATTGGTGTTAAACTAGCATGTGTCAAGAGTAGAGATGAGAGACAGGTGCGCTATTGGTGTTAAACTAGCATGTGTCAAGAGTAGAGATGAGAGACAGGTGCGCTATTGGTGTTAGACTAGCATGTGTCAAGAGTAGAGATGAGAGACAGGTGCGCTATTGGTGTTAAACTAGCATGTGTCAAGACAAGAGATGAGAGACAGGTGCGCTATTGGTGTTAAACTAGCATGTGTCAAGAGTAGAGATGAGAGACAGGTGCGCTATTGGTGTTAAACTCGCATGTGTCAAGAGTAGAGATGAGAGACAGGTGCGCTATTGGTGTTAGACTAGCATGTGTCAAGAGTAGAGATGAGAGACAGGTGCGCTATTGGTGTTAAACTAGCATGTGTCAAGAGTAGAGATGAGAGACAGGTGCGCTTTTGGTGTTAAACTAGCATGTATCAAGAGTATAGATGAGAGACAGGTGCACTATTGGTGTAACTAGTGGTTTGGTCGATAAGTCCATAAACGATTGAGCATAAACATACATTTAAAGATAACTTTAACACTAATGTGTACGTCTTGTTCCAACACAGGTTGGATAGCAAGGAGAACCCGTTCCTACCTGGCGGGAATCTCAGTAAGGAAACCGACGACCTGTTGAAGCGAGCAACCATCATCAGAGACCAGTTCCTTCTGGACGACGAGGCGAGGCTTCTCGCCCAACAGGCTGCTGCAGCAGAGGGTGCCACGCAGGTGCAGGAGGAGCACACGTCACCGGCTCACACAAGTCCTGTGGCCAAACCCAAGGAGAACGGCCAGTCTGCAGAACCAGCATCTCCTAGCTCAGTGCATGTGGACATGAACAAGGAACCCCAAGCCTCACCAGGCTCGCCACAAACTCGCAATGCCGTGCAAAAAGACAAGAAAAAGGGTAATAAATGCTGTAGCGTGATGTAGCACCTGCATTCATCCATATATCGTGATGGTAGTCTATATCAGCCGCCTGGACTGCACTGACAGACGAACGGACGAAGATATGGAGGGCCCCGAGCTTCCATTTCTACCCTGTGGACCTCCGCTATTTTGTGTGCTCGGCTTTTCTGACTTTGTGCGTGGGTGGATTGCTACTCGCCACGATGTCCGTAGGAAAGACTGACTGAACATTTCTAACATGGCATGGCCGCGGTGGGTAAACGTGGTCGTGCCACCATGCATGTATTTATCTCATGTGCATCTGTCATTTGTGTGTTACCTTACTCACTCGGGACGCGCATTGTTTTGTTATCTTCTTGTACTACTGACTGCTACAGGCGTGTGTGTCCGTGTAAAGTCAGGACTCGCCTCAATCTGTACGCCCTGGCTGACACAGTGTAGACTGGAACCCGCTGCCTGAAGATGACGCAGATGTCTGGTCCAGGAGGTTTGGTAATATCGTGTAGAGGTGCCCATTGAGTAGAGCTGGAGAACCAGATGGGAAGGTACAGAGAAACAGGCGGGATCCAGATGTGTAGGACATGACGGCCAGGTGTGATCCAGGTGTGTAGGACAAAACAGCCAGGTGTAATCCAGGTGTATAGGACAAGACAGCCGGGTGTGATCCACGTGTGTAGGTACGGAGAAGGTGTGATCCTGGTGTGTACAGAACGCGGCTGTTCACTGACAGGCACACGTGACCTGAGAAATCTTGATAACTCTACATAATAATTTATTATTTAACAACGTCTTGTAAGACATGCATTTTAGTGCAAACATTGTCGAAGGCATTTGCAGAAAATGGGAAATGTCGTGATGTCGGAGTACATGGTATGTGGCTTGTTGAGGACCATCTAGAACCATCATGCCTCGCCCGGTGTGGCAGCCACGTGATCAGGAATACAATCAGTACAACGTTATGGGCAGGTGACATCTGTCGTCCACCTGTGCCTGGTATCAGCCATGTGTCACCGGAGGACATAATATTGAGGCTTTTTATATATTATCTTCAAAGGGTTGGGTTTGAAGAGGGATTGGGTGGGAACGCTTGTAGAATTGAAAAATGCTTTTACGATTTGTTTTGTATTATTTATTTTTAGAATTAAACAGCAATTAAGTCATCTTCAGATTTATTTGCATAAAGAGTTTGACTGATATGAGGTTTTTGTTATATATGCGATGTGTGGGATAGGGGTGACTTGTGAGTCAACATTGTCCATCTGCCCGTTTACAAACGAGAGGGTATCTGAAGTACAGGACCTGTAACCTTGGGAGGTCATTATCAGTATAGGACCTGTACACAGGGTAGGTAAACATCAGCATAGGACCTGCACACAAGGGAGGTCAACTCGAGTATAGTAACTGCACACAAGGGTGGTCAACACCAGTACAGGACCTGTACACTGGGGAGGTCAACACCAGTATAGGGCCTGTACACTTGGGAGGTCAACATCAGTATAGGACCTGTACACTGGGGAGGTCAACACCAGTATATGACCTGTACACTGGGGAGGTCAACACCAGTATAGGGCCTGTACACTGGGGAGGTCAACACCAGCATAGGACCTGTACACGGGGGTGGTCAACATCAGTATAGGACCTGAACACTGGGGAGGTCAACATCAGTATAGGACCTGTACACTGGGGAGGTCAACATCAGTAGAGGACCTGTACACTGGGGTGGTCAACACCAGTATAGGACATGTACACTGGGGAGGTCAACATCAGTAGAGGACCTGTACACTGGGGTGGTCAACACCAGTATAGGACATGCACACTGGGGAGGTCAACATCAGTAGAGGACCTGTACAATGGGGTGGTCAACACCAGTATAGGACATGCACACTGGGGAGGTCAACATCAGTAGAGGACCTGTACACAGGGGAGGTGACACCAGTATAGGACCTGCACACTGGGGAGGTCAACATCAGTAGAGGACCTGTACACTGGGGTGGTCAACACCAGTATAGGACATGTACACTGGGGAGGTCAACATCAGTAGAGGACCTGTACACTGGGGAGGTCAGCACCAGTATAGGACCTGTACACTGGGGTGGTCAACACCAGTATAGGACCTGTACACTGGGGTGGTCAACACCAGTATAAGACCTGTACACCGGGGAGGTCAACATCAGTATAGGACCTGTACACTGGGGAGGTCAACATCAGTATATGACCTGTACACCGGGGAGGTCAACACCAGTATAGGGCCTGTACACTTGGGAGGTCAGCACCAGTATAGGACCTGTACACTTGGGAGGTCAGCACCAGTATAGGACCTGTACACTGGGGTGGTCAACACCAGTATAGGACCTGTACACTGGGGTGGTCAACATCAGTATAGGACCTGTACACTGGGGAGGTCAACACCAGTATAGGACCTGTACACTGGGGAGGTCAACACTAGAATAGGACCTGTACACTGGGGTGGTCAACACCAGTATAAGACCTGTACACTGGGGAGGTCAACACCAGTATAGGACCTGTACACTGGGGAGGTCAACACCAGTATAAGACCTGTACACTGGGGAGGTCAACACCAGTATAGGACCTGTACACTGGGGAGGTCAACACCAGTATAAGACCTGTACACTGGGGTGGTCAACACCAGTATAAGACCTGTACACCGGGGTGGTCAACAGCAGTATAGGACCTGTACAATGGGCATTGGCATTGAGGAGATAATGTGCTAAGAATAGCAACATACATAGAGAAGATTCTTCGACATTGGTAGAGACACCGTCAGTACTTCACGGGTTTGCATCCACTACATTATTCCATGACCCGTGAATACATACGGCCCTGGTCGCTGTGTTTACCCAACGAATCAAGTGACGACCTGGTTCCAGCGAGTGGGAAACTAGCGATTTCTTAGGTCATAGAGCGCTCAGATATGATCTTCATCGCACAAACGGTAACATTTCACCGAGGTGTGCCCAGCCTTACGGCCATCTACTCCACACATTGCGTCTATGTCAGCCAACGGTAGGGTTCGCACAAAATACAGGCACGGAGTTCGTTTGACTTCCACGAGTTATGTCAACAGCCTCAGTTCTTTACCTGGCAAAAAAAATAGACGCCCGTCTCTAACTAGGCACATAGGAACGTAGTGTATACAAACCCGTGAATTGACGATGGGGTTGAGATAGTATAGGTAGAAGTTTGAAACAGGTGTGGTGTAATAGGTAATGATGCGTATACACAGGTATTTTAGTCCAATGTCCCTGTACAACCCGTGGGAATCCTGGGTTAGCATATAGTCCCCATCGCAAGTAACAAATGCTTGTCGTAAGAGGCGACTAAATAGGTCGAGAGGTCAGGCTCGGTGATTTGGTTGACTGCATATCCTTGTATTCCTCTTACGTGGATCGATGCTCATGATGTCACCCACTGGATTGTATATTTACTGACGGCCGCCATATAACTGGGATAAGGTAGCTAAACAAATTATACATATTGAAATCGGTAGAAAAGAAAAATATAATACAATTAAAAAATATATATATTGCCATATAGTGTGTCCGCCTTTGACTGTAGTTCGTAGCCAAACCGCACATTAATTCGCGGAATAAACGATTTTATTCAATCACTACACATATTCCATATATATTGTTTAATATTATTTAGCATATTGTTTAATGTTAAATGTCTTGACGTTTATCGTAATGCCACGTGTAGATTGCCAGTACACTTATATTACTGATCACCTCTAAATCGTGTCAGATTCATCAGGAGCGTCGAGCCATTCCCGTTTTACACTCTTGACAAACGAAAACGTTATTTTTTACTTGCACTTACATTTATATTATATATCATGTACAATCATGCAATGAACTCTGCTTTCAAAAGAGATTTCCTACGATTATGAATAATACTTTCATTATACTCTGAGTCTCAGATTGCGGTCAAGACGTTTGATTTCTACATTATAATCGATGATCAGTAAAAATCTAAAATTGATAATTTCAGTAATATTGATTCTTTTTTTTAAAACAGTCAGATACCCTGATAATTTCAGTAATATTGATTTTTTTTAAAAAAACAGTCAGATACCCTGACAACTAGTGCATTTTTTAGCACTGCAGACTCTATGACTACTTAGTCAGCTGTCACACACACACACACACACACACGTCGCTGGTTAGTTGGTTCGTGGTTGTGTTGTTGCATTAGTTTTGATATCTGAGTTTGATCACAATGATTTAAACTGTTCTGCGCTAAGAACGTTATACACATAAGTCCGCGGCTACAGGTGAGGTGACATGGGGTTTAACGTCGATACTATCATCATGATATAACATTTATAACAATTGTATCACATACGTTACAGCAGACCAATTGTATAATCTGCGTTATACCAGACCATGTGTATCGTATATGTTACTGTAGACCAATTGTATCAGCTATGTTACAGCAGACCAATTGTATCAGCTATGCTATAGCAGACCAATTGTATCATCTATGTTACAGCACCAATTGTATCAGCTATACTATAGCAGACCGATTGTATCACATATGTTACAGGTGACGTGAGGTGAAATGGGGTTTAGCGTCGCGTTGAAGATGATTGCACTTACATAGTGAAGTGCGTGCACGTGTGTGTGTGTGTGTGTGTGTGTGTGTGTGTGTGTGTGGTTGCTTGTACAAGCGATAACATGCCGCAGTTTAACATGAATAACCCACTCAGACACAGTATACTGGCTCCGAACCGACCAGTCCTTGTTTTAGCTCCTTAATGCCGAGCACCAGGCAGGGTAACAACAAGTACCATATTTTAACGTTCTTATGTATGACGCGGCCGGGGATCGAACCCCGACCTTCCGCTCTCCGGGCAGTCGCTCTACCACTAGACCACAGAGGCGGTCCGCAGTTCCAGAACATTCGGACAGTGGAAGGAAACTAGTCTGTCATACAGACCCTGACACAAGTGTATCCAATACAGCCCATGCAAGTCTATAAAACAGTTGCCAAGTCAAGATTACTGCAGTTTCTGAAAATAAAGAGTCTCTGGGATCCTTTTTATAATTTAATATTAAGATAGTTTTAACAACGTTTATTCTGTAAAATATTTTTGTTTCGGAGATTAAAATATATTTATTTCAGAGACAAGATGTTAGTCTAGCAGGAGCCAAGCCGGCTAGGCTACCACTGTATATCTTATTTAACCAGTAGTGTGGCATTTGAATCTTAACGAGGCAATACTAGTTTGTGCGCCATTGTACAACTGACAGCGTTTACGATCCTCAAACAAAAGAAACAGGAGAACAAAAGGCACAACAATATTACTTGGTATTGATTCGAAAATACGATTTTAGATCTTAGCTCAGGGTCTAGTAATAAAGCTCCATGTGACAAATACTGGTGGTTCTGTCACTAGATGTTCGTTTCAACTTCAACCCAGGGGGTGAATAACTAACCCTTGATCAACTGTGTAGACTTGAGTTTCAAAAGGCATAATTTGTATTTGTTCAGGCTCGGTCGGAGAAGTGGAAAGTGTTTTTTATCGTTTTGATGGAACTGAGCTGGGAGTGTCCCCATCATTTGATAATAGACCCAATATGTTCAGTCAGAGCAATGTAGTACGAGTATACTCACCCAAAAAGGCAGGGGAACGTGAACAGAAAATGTTAATACCAAGTATTAGAACAAAGATGGGTTTTGACGACAAGCATCCGATGAAAGAACGTTTATGTCTGTAAAAGTCAACACCAAAACACAGGGATGTGAGCAGGTTTTCAAAAAAAAAGAGGAAGTCTAGGGGGGTTTGGGGGTATGCCCCCCCAGAATTTTTTTAAACATTTGATTGCATTTTAAGCAATTTCGTGCAGTTTGGACAACATTCACACCAAGAAATGTAATAAGTCAATGGCAAAAGTCAATAAGTCAAATAAACAAGATGGCAGATGCAATAAAATTTCGAAGTTAAATCAGTACTTTTAAAAAATCTCTTCCGCGCACCTGGCTACCCGCCAGGTCTGGGAGCAATACTGCCATAAACTTCAACCCCCATCCCCCAGACACAAGGACAACTGTCACAAGCGTGCAATGTCTGACCCTTTCCCCATGTTGAAGCATATTGAAAAAAACTTACCTTGTACTTACTTACCTTTTGTTGAAAAAAACAAAACTCCATTGCAAACATAAGACATTTATACAACATATATCCCCATGTTATGGGTTTTTGGAAGCTGAAGAAACATTCACAGTTTTCTCGCTAATCACATGAACAACTGTAAAACATCTAATTCACTTACCGGCCAAAAGCAGGGATGTGAGCAGGTTTTCCCTAAAAAAGAGGAAAAGTCCAGAAATTTTTAAACATCTGATTGCATTTTAAGCAATTTCGTGCAGTTTGGACAATATTAACACCAAGAAATGTAATAAGTCAATGGCAAAAGTCAATAAGTCAAATAAACAAGATGGCAGATGCAGTAAAATTTCGAAGTTAAATCAGTACTTTTAAAAAATCGGGCATAGCTTTCGCACACCTGGCTACCCGCCAGGTCTGGGAGCAATACTGCCATAAACTTCAACCCCCATCCCCCAGACACAAGGACAACTGTCACAAGCGTGCAATGTCTGACCCTTTCCCCATGTTGAAGCATATTGAAAAAAACTTACCTTGTACTTACTTACCTTAAAAAACAAAACTCCATTGCAAACATAAGACATTAATACAACATATATCCCCATGTTATGGGTTTTTGGACGCTGAAGAAACATTCATAGTTTTCTCGCTAATCACATGAACAACTGTAAAACATATCATTCACCTACAGGCTAAAAGACAACTTTATCTAAAAACAAGCAATCATCTGACTCTGAGTATTTACAATTTCTGTGTGACGCCACACCCCACGTTATAGTGCAAGTATTCGTGATAGAAAACGTATGATGTCCGAAAACCTATGCTGCTGAAAGTTCTGATCGAAAACAGGACAATTCGCGACGGTTGTCCGGTTTTCGATCATATTTTTCGGAGTGTTTTTTTTAAATCTTTCATTATATTTTTACGCGGAAGATGATTTTTTCCGAGGACTACTGTTCTAAAAAACGCGATTTTTCGCGTTTCCGCGGAGATTTCACATCCCTGAAAACACATCCTATAGTTTGCACGTGCAACGCGCAGTTGCGCAACACACGTGCGTTGGGTGTCGTTCCTGATGTTGGACGCTTTCATGGAAGGTCGATTAATCTCTGTTGACCTTTTTTTCTGTCAATCTTTTTGATTCTGCTAATCATAAAGTTGGGATTTACTTGATTTCATTCAGTGTTTGTGTATGAACTAGCGATGTGTCTGCAACGCGCGGAGCTTCACGGGCTATTGGCATGCTTAAAACTGGCACTGGTCAGCGTGAAGCGGCCAATACGTCCAATGCTTTAAAGTCTGTGATTAGCAGACTATGGAACAGGTACCAACAAACCCAAGGTATTGACGGTCGACCCCGTCCAGGGCGTCGACGACAAGAGTACAGGATCGATTGATCCGAAATCTGGCTCTACGAAATCGAGCTCAAACGGCGAATCACATTGCTGCAAACTTACTTCAGGTCAGGCGGTTAGAAATCGCCTAACTACATCTCATCTCCATGGTTTGGTTTGGTTAGTTGTATTACGCCGCACTCAGCAATATTCCAGCTATATGACGGCGGTCTGTTAATAATCGAGTCTGGACCAGACAATCCAGTGACTGAAAAATCATAAGCATCGATCCACGCAATTGGGATCGATGACATGCATATCTCCATGGACATGGCTAAATGGACATGTGTTGTGCCGCCCATTACAAATCGTCATGTTGCCAACAGATGCCAATGGTATACACAACGTCGAAACGGGGTGGAATCGCCATGGCTGAACGCACCCAACTCCATATTGTGGTGGGAGTGTTACTGGACAGTACTATCGGGACAACATACTGACACCCTTGTTGTCCAATTTGCAAAACGTGTGGGTAGACGTTTTGTCTTTCAGGGCGACGACGCCCGTGCATACCGTACACAAACCGTCAATGCTCAACTCCAACATCCATAGAACGCGTCTTGAACATGACGCGTGTGTGTCAACGTCACAGGCCGCCGACCACGTTGGCTTAACTTGGCCAGGCGCTCTCATAGGAATGGGACAGTGTCCTTCAAATCGCCATTGGGGGACTCATTCGCAATATGCCTCGTCTCGTTAATTAATGTTAGACAAATCGTAGGCGTGTTACGCGCTAGTGATCCAAAACGTCAACTATGAAATTCCCCATCTTACTTCGAGATCGTCGGCGGTCATAACATGTACTATGCTACTTCACTACCGGTTGTAATGTGTTCCGAATTCGTTCATTATTATCATACAACTATTACTAGAAACTAATATCTCTCACAATTTTTGGAAATCATAAGTAATGTCCGAGTATCCCTCGCTTTTTTTTTAAAGAGTATGTATGCCTAACTTCCACTTTCCAAAGATCCGTGAAGATCCGTGTTAGGATTAGTCTTCAGCAACCCATGCTTGTCGTAAGAGGCAACTAACGGGACATGGTTGATGCATGTCATCGTATCCCAAATGCCTTGATCGATGCTCAAGATGGTCCACTGGATTGTCTGGTCCAGGTTTCATTAGTCACACACTACCGTCATATAGCGTGAATATTGCCGAGTGCGGCGTTAAAGAAAGAAAGAAAGAAAGAACCAAACAAACAAAACAAACTAAGTGGTGAGTGATTAAGTGATTTGGGGCTGCCTATTACAGTATAATAGTCACGGCATGTCAGGTAAATGTGTATTTAAAGCCGTAAGTGATGCAGGATGATATTGTAGAGAGTCTATAAGCATAGGTGATAGAGATTAACCGGAATTCTGCATTCCAAGCAACAACCATGCGGGTCGAGGTTATACCGCCATAAAACAAACGGAGCGAGCTGCAGGGTCTTGGGCCAATTAACTATCGGTGGTCACTAATCGTTTCTACAGGGGGCGCCTTGCAAAGCTTAAAGTTAACGAGCGGGTGGTGTTTTATATTTTACGAGTGCTTCATTCAATATGTGATCGGGGCGACAACACTCGACTCGTTCCAAGTGTAAAGCAGGTAGCGAACAAGCTGAATCAGATATGTTGTACACTCCTAATCAGCAGAAGCTGTGTCCATCCGATTCCCATACAGTCCTTGGGGAGAGGGGATATATAAACAGCAAGACCTCGAGTCAAATAGTCGGGACAAGCACTTTTCCGAATGAAGAATCATCGTTTCGGACGAATTTCCTTGTATAGACGTTCTTAGAGTAATAGTCCAAAATGCAGACATTCCAGATTAAAGAGGTATCACTATATAATTGTAGAATAACCAGACAGTTCAGGTATTGGAGAGATTACTGACTGATTTTTATGCAGATCAAGCCACGAAAGTGACACTGAAGCACAATCCATAAAGTTTGAATCCACAGCGGACATGCAAGATGCAGCAGATGTTGTGTGGACTCACTGTGAATATCTGCTGAAAGCACACAACTGGAGCTGAAGCCATGGCGGGCGAGTGAGTGGGTGTGGTTTTACGCCGCTTTTAGCAATATTCCACGAATATCACGAATGGGGACACCAGAAATGGGGCTTCACACATTGTACCCATGTCTGGAATCGAACCCGGATCTTTGACGTGACGAGCGAACGCTTTAACTTTAACGCTTCAGCCGACCGCCCTTATGGTGGGTTAAACGCGGCTTTGAACAGTCTTCCAGTTATGTCACGGCGTATCAGCGAAAAACGAAAGGAGATCGAAGAGTGGTGCAGGTCTCAGACGTTGACCATTTCGGTGAAACCCTCGTGCATGGGTATGGTGCTGTCAAACCTAGACACATAATCGGGGTGAACCGGGATTAGAAACCAACGATCACAGGTTTCTGGCGTGCCCAAGGGGCGCAACTCTGCACAGTGAATTGCAGCGCCAGAGACAACTGCCGGGCGAGAAGCTGATGGTGATGAATTCAAACTAATTCAAACTAAAGACAAATGATCTCAGGACAGACGGAGTTGAGCAAGTTGGGCATGGTGGGAGGGATAGGATGGCTGTGTTACTTTAACTAGAACTGAACAAATATTGCATCTATTTCTTTATTTTTCAAGATATATACAAATACAAAAGTATAACAATCATACATAATGAGATCATGATGATTTGAAACGTTATGCATAAACATATTAACAGTTGGATGTTTTCACATCAGATACTGTTACGATCCTTATGTACAGGCAGCCAATCAGCATAGTTAAACTGTATATAAAATCAACATCGACAAACTCTGTTTATACACATCATACATGTTCTGGGCACCATCTCTGTACAAACCCTGAAGGGCATAGGACTTGTTCGATGGGACTGTCTGACCACCATGTTATTAATTCTGCTGTCCCTGAGAAAATTTACAGACTGGGGCCAGCAAGTCAAAGACTTGGTGAATTGTCCATTTCTTGATCTTGCACAACCTTGATGTATATTAGTATACACCTTTGCCGAACTAGGCTGGTATTATGGAGTTATAGTTTGGCTGGACTAAAGGATCTATGCATAATCCAATCAAAATCGCGTAACGAAATTGACATCCGGTTCTTAAACTACCGTGCAGTTTTTGGTTGAATGCAGGATTCACAAAGCATGTGAACCAACTTGGCATCAACACATATTTGCCAAATCTTTTCATGTTTTAATCAAGGTACACACATGATTTGATGCTTATTGCAAAGTAAGACCTGTTTTATCACAATATAGATTTTGATTATCGATCAGATCACCCTGGGCGCCGCCATTTTGTTTGAAGGAAATGCCAAAGATATTTGAGGTGGAATCTGATTGGTCAATAGGAGGGACATAGGAGGGACATAGGAGGCGAATAACGTGTAATAGCCACTGGTGTTGCAACAACCGGGTCCAAAAATTCCAGCCTACATCTGCAAGGGTGGACACTGGACTGTTTCAGTCAGTGAACTCCCTTGCCCTGGGAAGATGCCCCCTGCACAGCTCCACAGCTGACAAACAAAGGGAGAGAATCAGGCAGAACTAACACAAACTTCAGATTCTTGCAAGGGACTTAACTCTGCACATCAACTAGGACACATGTGTGTCCATATGTGTATGTAATGTTGGAATGTCTGAATCAAATATATCTAGTACCACAGTAATGACTCTCACCTTTCATATATTCAGCAGTCTAAAACGTTTTTGGAAGCAACCATAAGATTATACAGCAGACATACATGCGATTGCTGGTTTTTCAAAGGAAACATCTGGTGTGGATGTAGAGAGGCAAACATCATCAAATTCTGCATTCATTGCTACCTAGAAGTGCTGGGCAGTATATGCCCAATGCTTAAAGGTTAAAGCCACACCGAAATCTCAGGGTTCAATCCTATGCTTTGAGTGAGAGACGTTTAATGCTGTCTCACAGATGTAAACATTTTATGATGGACCTATGTTTTAATTGTCAGGGCAATGTTAAGGTAGGGCAAAAATCATATCATGACATCACTTGTATTCACTTGCTTGACAAAAGAGACCAAATACTTAACACCACCTTAACTGACCACAACCATGCATCGTTTGATGATAACTGTAGAAATGTTGAAACTGTTGGCTGAAGGATTTATATTGTGAACAACAGAGCTGTGAACTGTAAATGCTTTTAACTTAATGCTTTGGAACTATTTATATGCTACTTAAAAGAAATAAAAAGAACATCATGTAATGACAGACTACATGAGATATGAAAGTATCGGGCGTTCTTTAGATTCCAAAGATGTATGAATACAAATGTTGATATTAGGTTGAATACATCCTAACGGTCACACTGATATCGTTAATGGAAATTTTATGTGATTTCATCAATTTATTTAGAAATTTGAAAGCAGTAATTATCCAAGTTACATGTTTTTTTTACACTTTTTTTATGTATTCATATCATAAACCAGGGATAGCGTTAAATTTTATCAAAGATTCGCTTAATTTCCCAAGATGGCTGCCCCAGTGGCCATTTTGAATTTGTCCAAAATTTGAAGTGAAGTAGTTATATTATTAGGCAAATGATCCACAATCATATTTTGATGAATTGGTAATGTACATCAATATTAATACTGATTGTGTTTTCTATAATTGATTTATCACAAACTAGTTTCAACTGCCTGGACATTTAGTTTCTAGAGTGTATCTTCTAGTTGTTATCAGTTGTGATCTGGTGTTAATCCAAAGAAGGTATAATTTAATGATTTCCAGTCTACATCTTATCACTATGAATTTATTGGTCCAACAAAATGACTGTATTTGAATGGCATTCCCCGTCTCCGTCTCCGTACACACAGACAGCTGACGGCGACGGCCAGAGCAACAATGAGCACCCCCATACCGCCTATAATGTAGAAGACATACTGGGGAAGATGGTATGGCTTGTGGTGTGTGGTGGTGTGTGGGGGTGAGATGGTGGTGTGGTCGGGAGTGTTGGTGGGGTGGTAGGTGGGGGTGCGGGTGTGAGGCTGGGGTGTCGTGCCGCTCCAGAACATGCAGTTGTTGTACTGGTTTATGTCCACATACAGAATTGCACAGAACTGGTTTATGAAGCATGAGTGACCGCACATTGCCGAATTGTTGTAGCTGACGGTGTTGTAGTCCATGTAGCGCTTGAACAGGATGCTGGAGGGGTGGAAGGTGCGGGTGAGGTTGTTGAAGTTGCGGGGGCTGCAGTCAGTGACAGCGTAGGCCTGTGTGGCCTGGTACTCCAGCTGCCACTCCCCCTCACTGCTGTTGTCTAGGCCCCCACTGCTGTTGCCCGGCCCTTCGTTAGCCAGGGTGAGGTTGAGGTAGTATTGCAGGTAGTCCATGATGTTGCTGGTAGAGCGGGAATAGTGGTACAGTCTGACTGACGGGTTGTTGGCCCCAACACCACGGAGTGGACTCTTCCAGGGGGTCAAGGCCGGGCTCAGATACATCAGGCTTGTCGTGACGCCTGCAAGATGGAAGATGTTTGGATGTGAGTCACCATGTGTGAGGACTCTGCTTTATGCAATCACATGTATTCATGTGTGAAGATATAACTTAATCGGAGTGTATCACATGTAAGTTGGTTGGTTGGTTTGTTTGTTGTTTAACTCCGCACTCAGCAATATTCCAGCTATATGACAGCAATCTGTAAATAATCGAGTCTGGACCAGACAATCCAGTGATTAATATCATGAGCATCAATCCACGCAATTGGGATCGATGACATGCATCAAGTCAGCGAGTCTGACCACCTTTTATGACAAGCATAGTCACCTTTTACAGCAAGCATGGGTGCTGAAGACCTATTCTACACGGGTCTCACGTGTAAGTACACTTACCTAATCCAGGTTCCACATGCATTGTGCAAGCATGTAGAAACCAGTAAGCAGACACATACCTTGTGTGTCCTTTACAAGTCGGAAGGAATCGGTGTGCTCATGGCCACAGAAGTGGGCAGCGATTGTTGCTGCGTGTTCTGTGATAAGATCCAGGTACCGCTTGTTGAACTCAGGGTAGAACCAGGACATGCCCTGCAGTCTCTCAAAGGCCCCGGGGCAGATGTGTGCCACGATGTACACCTGCAGCACAGTGACAGCCCCATCATAAGCTCTATACATATACTGGGCTCGATTAAAGGAACTTGATTTTACTTGCATCAGGGACATGTTGACATGAAACCAAGTTGCACCAAACAAAACCAGGTTGCACCAAACAAAACCAGGGTGAACCAAACAAAACCAGGGTGAACCAAACAAAACCAGGTTGCACCAAACAAAACCAGGGTGAACCAAACAAAACCAGGGTGAACCAAACAAAACCAGGTTGCACCAAACAAAACCAGGGTGCACCAAACAAAACCAGGGTGAACCAAACAAAACCAGGTTGCTCCCTGGTCCCATAAATTTATCAAAGTTGAAACCAATGACGCATTGCTGTATAATGTAATATGAACATGTGCACATAATCTTGAAGTACACACACATCTAAGAAAGCATTACAAGTGACACAACACAGGGATTAGTGATGTAGTAAGGAAATATACTTTAGGGGCATTGAGGGTTTTCAAAGATAGATTTTGTGTAGACAAGTGAGGGTTTCTGGTAGTCGGACACAAAATCAAATCTTTATACATGCCCTTGGCACATGCTTGGTGCATGTAGACATAAGTATTATCTTGCATTTTTCAGTAACAGGTTTGACTTGTGCTTGTTTTATTTTAATAGCAAAATCGAGCCCTCCATATAAAACATTGACCAGGATATATGTCAACACTGACTAGGATATATGTCAACACTGACCAGGATATGTGTCAACACTGACCAGGATATAAGTCAACATTGACCAGGATATAAGTCAACATTGACCAGGATATATGTCAACACTGACCAGGATATATGTCAACACTGACCAGGATATATGTCAACACTGACCAGGATATGTGTCAACACTGACCATGATATAAGTCAACATTGACCAGGATATAAGTCAACATTGACCAGGATATATGTCAACACTGACCAGGATATGTGTCAACACTGACCAGGATATAAGTCAACATTGACCAGGATATATGTCAACACTGACCAGGATATATGTCAACACTGACCAGGATATATGTCTACACTGACCAGGATATATGTCTACACTGACAAAGATATATCTCAAAACTGACAAGGATATACAGTAAACAATGTTTATAACAAACCCGCTTATAATGAACTGACGGATATAACTCACTATTTCTTCGGCCCCGGCCATTGGCTGTATATTTTATTATATAAAATGAATTGATATGATGAACACAATCGAAATAACGGATATAGCGAACTCACTTTGTTGTCCCACATGTACTCTGGCAACGACAACGCTTTTGTTTATAACAAACTGTTAATCTGAGCTGCTCACGGGTGTATCAAAACATCTGTGGCCACGATCAGCTCTTCAAAATGGCATTAAACAATTAAAGGAAAGTGATTAACTGGATTAAGTACCGACACCTTGACCCCAATAAACACCCTCAATTAACAATAATAAACCTGTGATTAGGCTATAGCCTTTGAAGTGGATAAATTCTGTCTTCAGATATGACGACTACAGAGAAAATTCAGTTGAAATGCTATAATGAACTATGGTTATAGCAAACTAAAATTAGAGGTCCCTTTCATTCTGTTATAACCGTAGTTTACTGTATTTCAATACTGACAAGGGTATATCTCCTTCTCTAGCCAGGACATACATCAGGCGACCAGGAAATCATACTGTCATCCACAGTTTGTACAGTACCTTCTGCTGTGCTGTGTCGGCATCTGTCAGCTGCTGTCGGAGCCAGGCCAGCTGCTGGTTGGGATCAAGGTTCCCTGTCACTTTCTTGTTCATTGAATACCACAAGTTGGAGTTGAGGACGACCAGCCTCAAGCCTTGCCGCACGATCCGTGAGTAGTAGCCACCTGAACAAGAGGAGTGACATGTGTCATACACACTGGATGGTATAAGGGAGACGGGTGTCACACTGGATGGTATGTAGGGAGACAGGTGTCACAGTGGATGGTATGTAGGGAGACAGGTGTCACAGTGGATGGTATGTAGGGAGACAGGTGTCACAGTGGATGGTATGTAGGGAGACAGATGTCAGTGGATGGTATGAAGGGAGACAGGTGTCAGTGGATGGTATGTAGGGAGACAGGTGTCAGTGGATGGTATGTAGGGAGACAGGTGTCAGTGGATGGTATGTAGGGAGACAGGTGTCACAGTGGATGGTATGTAGGGAGACAGGTGTCAGTGGATGGTATGTAGGGAGACAGGTGTCAGTGGATGGTATGTAGGGAGACAGGTGTCACACTGGATGGTATGTAGGGAGACAGGTGTCAGTGGATGGTATGTAGGGAGACAGGTATCACACTGGATGGTATGTAGGGAGACAGGTGTCAGTGGATGGTATGTAGGGAGACAGGTGTCACACTGGATGGTATGTAGGGAGACAGGTGTCAGTGGATGGTATGTAGGGAGACAGGTGTCAGTGGATGGTATGTAGGGAGACAGGTGTCAGTGGATGGTATGTAGGGAGACAGGTGTCAGTGGATGGGATGTAGGGAGACAGGTGTCACACTGGATGGTATGTAGGGAGACAGGTGTCAGTGGATGGTATGTAGGGAGACAGGTGTCACAGTGGATGGTATGTAGGGAGACAGGTGTCACACTGGATGGTATGTAGGGAGACAGATGTCAGTGGATGGTATGTAGGGAGACAGGTGTCACACTGGATGGTATGTAGGGAGACAGGTGTCACAGTGGATGATATGTAGGGAGACAGGTGTCAGTGGATGGTATGTAGGGAGACAGGTGTCAGTGGATGGTATGTAGGGAGACAGGTGTCACACTGGATGGTATGTAGGGAGACAGGTGTCAGTGGATTGTATGTAGGGAGACAGGTGTCAGTGGATGGTATGTAGGGAGACAGGTGTCAGTGGATGGTATGTAGGGAGACAGGTGTCACACTGGATGGTATGTAGGGAGACAGGTGTCAGTGGATGGTATGTAGGGAGACAGGTGTCACACTGGATGGTATGTAGGGAGACAGGTGTCAGTGGATGGTATGGGGTAGGGAGACAATCCAGTGATTGACATTGTGAGTAATCATCCAATCCACTGCTGTATGTTGACACACAATCAAGGAAGGAACTGAGTCTGCTCTGTGGGGACATAGATCCCAGTATCTTTGCTCTTTGGAGACACATGTTCTAATATTTTGGTTCTATGGAGACACATTTCCTAATAACTATACTCTATCAAGACAGATGCTCTAGTATCACTGCTCTATGGAGACATGTCCCAATATCTCTGTACTAACCTTTCTGGAACTGTGCCTGCTCTTGTTTCTCCAGGAGTTGAGACCAGTCCCCCTTGGTCAGGATGTCGTCATAGTAGTGAGTTCCACTTTCCACGAGAGGCATCTGATTGGATGGGAAGGCATCATGGTTGCCCAGCAGTGGAACCAAGGAGGTGTTTGGGAATGCGTCCTTCAGAACTGTAGTTACATTACTTATCAGTCTCAGGACATCGTCTAAGCTTTTCTGCTCCACATGTGGTACAGTGTCTCTGTAAGAGAAAAGTGTAAACACCTTTGATGTCACAACACCCGTGATACCACAACAAGCCTGTTCTTAGTGTTCCTTGCTGTGATCCTGCTGGAATATGTTGCTGAACTAAACATGCTAAAGGCTTGGTGAAACAACACTCTACATTCACTCATGACTATTTGAACTACCTGTGATTAATTGTTTGAAAATGAAATATAGACATGTCTTTATTCATGATTCTTGTTAAAAACAATACAGTGAAAGATCATGTTAGAAAAAATTGTTCCTTTGTCACTTCCAGTTTTTTCAGAACTTTCCTGCTGGCAATAACAACTTGGCTGAGGATAGTGGATATGTGGGTTGACACACAAGCCTTTCGGAAAAGGGGTGTGCATTGTGTAGTCACAACTTGACACTCGAATGAAAGATGAATGCATTTCTTCGTGTGTTTTTCTGTTACGATACATATCACCAAATGAGCTCTATTTACAGAAATGAAGTATTTGTTCACACATACTAGGTATTTTCACCCGTGGAACTTCATAATGTTACATGTCTGACTGTGTCCCGTGTCTGACTGTGTCTGACTGTGCCTCCCTGTGTCTGACTGTGTCCCCTGTGTCTGACTGTGCCCCCTGTGTCTGACTGTGCCCCCTGTGTCTGACTGTGCCCCCTGTGTCTGACTGTGCCCCCTGTGTCTGACTGTACCCCATCTGACTGTGCCCCCTGTGTCTGACTGTGCCTCCCTGTGTGTGACTGTGCCTCCCTGTGTCTGACTCTGTCCCCTGTGTCTGACTGTGCCTCCCTTTGTCTGACTGTGTCCCCTGTGTCTGACTGTGCCCCGTGTCTGACTGTACCCCGTCTGACTGTGCCCCCTGTGTCTGACTGTGCCTCCCTGTGTGTGACTGTGCCTCCCTGTGTCTGACTCTGTCCCCTGTGTCTGACTGTGCCTCCCCGTGTCTGACTGTGTCCCCTGTGTCTGACTGTACCCCATCTGACTGTGTCCCCTGTGTCTGACTGTGCCTCCCTGTGTGTGACTGTGCCTCCCTGTGTCTGACTCTGTCCCCTGTGTCTGACTGTGCCTCCCTTTGTCTGACTGTGTCCCCTGTGTCTGACTGTGCCCCGTGTCTGACTGTACCCCGTCTGACTGTGCCCCCTGTGTCTGACTGTGCCTCCCTGTGTGTGACTGTGCCTCCCTGTGTCTGACTCTGTCCCCTGTGTCTGACTGTGCCTCCCCGTGTCTGACTGTGTCCCCCGTGTCTGACTGTTTCCCCTGTGTCTGACTGTACCCCATCTGACTGTGTCCCCTGTGTCTGACTGTGCCTCCCTGTGTGTGACTGTGTCCCCTGTGTCTGACTGTGCCCGACTGTGCCCCTTGTGTCTGACTCTTGTGAAGTACTCACCCTGTCCACAGTATAAAGTCTGGTTCTGCCTCCCTGTGTCTCATGGTTTCAATGACAGACTCCACAAGATTATAGGGGGAATCACACAAGTAGTTGCCATAGTAACCAGGGTCCCCACTACTGTCATTGTGAAAGTGGCACTGTTTCTTGGAGTTCCCATGTTGACTGTAGTCAGGATCAAAATGTACATCTGACAACTGCCAGAACTTTCCTACAACAACAATGAAGACATGAATAACAAATTTATTAACAGGATGTAAAGGAGGAATTATGAAATTTAACAAATATCAAATTTGTCAAGTATACCAACGGATGAGGCACGAGAAGTCTTCTTCGTTGCCCACTAGAAATGCTGAAAATGACAATTTCTTAGTTATTGAAACATTTGGATTAATTTATGAATGTTTTTGGCCATGTTCCTATCACTACCTGTTTCTTACATCAGTATCCCATGCAAGTCTTGCAAAACAACCTGATCAAGAATTCAAACAAATATATTGTTACTTAGAGTGAGGACGCTTTTTTTAAAACTTCAGCAGAAAATGTAACTTTGATAAACTCCATGCCTATCTTCCCGAGGCAAGCATGCCCACTAACCTATATCAAAGTCTGTAGTTACCACCTGTGCCATGTCAATACTTTTCTGTGTTAAAAACATATGAGAGTTCTATCACACATATCAATAGTCAAATCAGAGGACGTTTTATAAAATCAACTTTTTTAAGTGCTTCAATCAACTCACCCAAGGATAGAAACTGGACTTTGATAGAAGCTAGTGGACACCCTTCCTCGGGAAGATGGTCCATGCTCTAAAATTCAGTTCTCAAAACAATAGAACTCTGCACAGAGAAGCCGAGATTTCTAGCGCTGCACAGAGTAAACTCGTCTGTCTTGTTTTTCAATAGAGTCAAATTGAAGAGAAATCTTGTGTGTTTTTCTTACGGCTGAACAACAAAATACTAATTGCTATATTGCTTAGATAAGAAGCCAGTGTTTATCAAAGCCCAGATTACAAAATAAATATGCCTCGGTCAAATGAAGTCAATCACTCTCCTACCCAGGGTTCCTTGCGGCCAACCTCGTACCTCTGTCATATTGTACACAGTCCGTTCACATGTTTTTCATCTGTTTCATTATTGACGCGTCTACACATTTAGATAAACATACGTCATGAAATGTTTTATTTCCATTGAGTAAACATCCAAAAACGTTTCACTATTCACAATTAAAAATATATACAAAGGGCAACTGGGCAAGTAATAAATAAAATACTAAACAAGCTCCTGTGTAATACTAATTTTATGAAATGAGTAAAAGCGACTCAGATACCAGAGCTATTCACTCGTTTCATAAAATTGGTATTACACAGGAACTTGTTTAGTGTTATAAATATCTCACACTTCCAACCACAGCAAGCTTTTCCCAAGCCTTCCATCAAGACCATGATGATCATGAAAAATGGCTTTGGTGTTGGAAAGATAAGCAGCCATGTGCACTGTGGCAAATGTTCACAATAAAAGTGGTATGACAAGTTTCTGGTGTCCCTAAAATTTGAAAACTCTCATCAGCAAAGTGTTCTACTATTGATAGCAGTTCAAAAGACATGTTTTTTTTCAGAAATATTTTCTTTTCATCGGTTTTCTGTTGCTAAATTAGAGGACTGGTAAACATTGTGATTTGAAACCTCTGACTGACCAATCACATCAGAGTATCGCACAAAGCCATGGTTAATTCCCATTTGACCCAGACCCAATTTCGTCTATTGCCAGTTTCCGAGTCGGTGTGAAGAAAAAGTAATATTTCCTCAGGAAGACCTAATGGTAAGTCTGTCTGCAAATTATGAAACAGTGGTAGAACATGTATGGTTGGTATTTGATTGACTGGTACAGAATTGTAATAGGTGAGGTCTTTCTGTGTGTTTCAGCATGAGTGGAGTGTGCAGAACGAAAAAAAAACAGGTTTCTTGTCACGCAGTTTGTGGCTTCGTTTTCTGACACGAAGCAAGTATTTCTCGTGTCCAATATTGTTGAAAACATGTAACATTCTACATACCTATGTCCCCATCCAACGCAAAGCCAGGACTTATCCATAGCATCACACACAACAAAAACAGCATTATCTGACGCGAAGGGTGTTGACAGTTTGTAATGAGTCCAGGAAATGAACTATCTTCTTTCGGTCGGTGTCGGGTCAATTCGCACCCTGTGATATTTGGATCCACCAGTTTTGTGTCGTCACCTTTCAGTCGTAATTTCACTTGGCCTACCACGTTACATAATTTTTTTATTCATTTGAAGATCCGTTAATGTTTATTCTATAATTAGACTTCTCATTTATAAATTTATGCCTGGTATTTCACTGTGAGTGTTGGTGGATTTTGATAACCCTATTGTAAGCAGGTAAGTGTGAATTGGGTCATGCTTTTGAGGATACTTTCTATGTGATGTTCAGTTGTTGTTGATAACCAAAGAACATATCGATACTAGTATATTGTCTCTGTGATATTTGAGGCACAAATATCAATACTATGATAAAAATTATATCATATTAATTTAATATTATTACATCATACTATTCATAGTGACTTTGAGATTTCTTTCCCCATGTCAGACGTAAAATTAATAAAAAGAAAACAGATGATTGTCTTTCACATTTCTGTCCTATTTCAGTGACCACATTTGACTGTTAGTTGTTTGCTATCCAATAATGTCAATAACTGTGTGTGTTTCAACTATAGTATACTTAGTGCTATTACAGTAGATCAAATGGATACAACGAACATGGATGTACCGAACAAACGGATACATCAAACTGTTAAAAATTCCCTGATTTATCTCCTATATAATATCATATAAAATTTACGTATATAACAAACTCTCTACAGCGAACTCACGGATACATCGAACTGATATATCTGATCACCGACAAGCCCATCTACCACAAATTAATGACCTGTGTAGAGAACTGAGAAACCTCACTCAGTGTCAAGTGTCACTGACAATTGGCTGTACGAAATCAGCAGTGAATCAGCAAAATCACAGACTACACATCTCCCCTTATGGAAATCGTAAAATTACATTTTGTACATGTATTTGATAACAATGTTCTAAAAATTAAATGAATGTTATAAAATGTTATCAATTAAATGCTATGAAGTGATCACTGCTAATACAAGTCAATGCTGCAATTATGTAAGATGGCGGACGTTTGTGAGCGAAAACGTGTATAACGAACACCGGATATAACAAACTGATTTCTCTGGTCCCTTTTAGTTCGTTATATCCATGCTCTACTGTATCTTCATACTGTTACCCTGTGTAGGACAAATGCAGGAACTGTCTGTATTTCAAATGAGCAGGGTTAGCTTTCACCCATGCTCGGCTACATCTGCACAATACACCTTTTGTAGACACCACTGCACCTTTTGTTGGCCATGGTACACCTTCAGTAAACTACATAACTCCTTCAGTAGATCACACTACACCTTCAGTAGACTCCACTACACCTTCAGTATATTTCCTCATTTCACCAAAGCCTCTATTATCAGGAAATATGTGATGATAGATAGTACTTAAAATTCTTTTTATCATCATTTTCCCCTATTACTTTAACAATCAATATAAAAAAATAAATAAGTTAGTTGATAGCTCTATTATGAAATCTTAAAATTGCTGAAAATTGCCATATTGTTTGCTTACTTGGTGCTTAATTTAGACGTTATAAATGTGTTGGCTTAAGTATTTCTTAAAAAATAACTTAATTAAGTTATAAATGCTTTATTTAAATAATGTGATAAACACAACTTTCATATTTATAAACAGTAGGATTAGATCTGGTATATGACATGTAGTAGCAAAGATGTTTTACAAGCTGATAATTTCCTTGATAAGTGTAGGTTTCAACTATCACCACAGAGTCTCTGGGAACTCTGTGTGATAGCAGTAAAAGTTTCTGGTTGACTGGTTGTATTTTGTAATTCATATTGCAAGAGTATGTCTCCCTGCTTCAGCTAAAATGTTTGGGCCTATAGTTTTCCACTGAGCATAAAGTTTTTGAAATGTGCTGGCCTTTAAGGCTCTAAATTACTCTGCTGAGTTTCAGATACTGTTTCTTTGTTTGTTTGTTTGTTGTTTAACGCTGCACTCAGCAATATTCCAGCTATATGACAGAAGTCTGTAAAAAATCAAGCCTTGAACAGACAATCCAGTGATTAACATCTTGAGCATCGGCCCACGCCATTGGGATACAATGACATGCATCAACAAAGTCAGCAAGCCTGTCCACACTTTTAGTAGACCACACTACACCTTCAGTAAACCACACTACACCCACAGTAGATGACACTGCACCTTCATTAGATCACACCACACCTCAACTAGATCACACAACACCTTCTGGAGTCCAAACTACACCCACAGTAGATCACACTGCACCTTCAGTAGATCACACTACACCCACAGTAGATCACACTACAACTTCAGTAGATCACACTGCACCCACAGTAGATCACACTGCAACCACAGTAGATCACACTACACCCACAGTAGATCACACTACACCTTCAGTAGATCACACTGCACCTTCAGTAGATCACACTACACCTTCAGTAGATCACACTGCACCTTCAGTAGATCACACTACACCCACAGTAGATCACACTACAACTTCAGTAGATCACACTGCACCTTCAGTAGATCACACTACACCTTCAGTAGATCACACTGCACCTTCAGTAGATCACACTACACCCACAGTAGATCACACTGCAACCACAGTAGATCACACTGCACCCACAGTAGATCACACTGCACCTTCAGTAGATCACACTGCAACCACAGTAGATCACACTACACCTTCAGTAGATCACACTGCACCTTCAGTAGATCACACTACACCCACAGTAGATCACACTGCAACCACAGTAGATCACACTACACCTTCAGTAGATCACACTGCACCTTCAGTAGATCACACTGCAACCACAGTAGATCACACTACACCCACAGTAGATCACACTACACCCACAGTCGATCACACTGCAACTTCAGTAGATCACACTGCAACCACAGTAGATCACACTGCACCCACAGTAGATCACACTGCACCTTCAGTAGATCACACTGCAACCACAGTAGATCACACTACACCCACAGTAGATCACACTACACCTTCAGTAGATCACACTGCACCTTCAGTAGATCACACTACACCCACAGTAGATCACACTACAACTTCAGTAGATCACACTGCAACCACAGTAGATCACACTGCACCCACAGTAGATCACACTGCACCTTCAGTAGATCACACTGCAACCACAGTAGATCACACTACACCCACAGTAGATCACACTGCACCTTCAGTAGATCACACTGCACCTTCAGTAGATCACACTACACCCACAGTAGATCACACTGCACCTTCAGTAGATCACACTGCAACCACAGTAGATCACACTACACCCACAGTAGATCACACTGCACCTTCAGTAGATCACACTGCACCTTCAGTAGATCACACTGCAACCACAGTAGATCACACTACACCCACAGTAGATCACACTGCACCTTCAGTAGATCACACTGCACCTTCAGTAGATCACACTGCACCTTCAGTAGATCACACTACACCCACAGTAGATCACACTGCACCTTCAGTAGATCACACTGCAACCACAGTAGATCACACTACACCCACAGTAGATCACACTGCACCTTCAGTAGATCACACTGCACCTTCAGTAGATCACACTACACCCACAGTAGATCACACTACACCTTCAGTAGATCACACTGCACCCACAGTAGATCACACTGCACCTTCAGTAGATCACACTGCAACCACAGTAGATCACACTACACCCACAGTAGATCACACTGCACCTTCAGTAGATCACACTGCACCTTCAGTAGATCACACTGCACCTTCAGTAGATCACACTACACCCACAGTAGATCACACTGCACCTTCAGTAGATCACACTGCACCTTCAGTAGATCACACTACACCCACAGTAGATCACACTGCACCTTCAGTAGATCACACTGCACCTTCAGTAGATCACACTGCACCTTCAGTAGATCACACTGCAACCACAGTAGATCACACTGCACCCACAGTAGATCACACTGCACCTTCAGTAGATCACACTGCAACCACAGTAGATCACACTACACCCACAGTAGATCACACTGCACCTTCAGTAGATCACACTGCACCTTCAGTAGATCACACTGCAACCACAGTAGATCACACTGCACCCACAGTAGATCACACTGCACCTTCAGTAGATCACACTGCACCTTCAGTAGATCACACTGCAACCACAGTAGATCACACTGCACCCACAGTAGATCAGTCTGCACCTTCAGTAGATCACACTGCACCTTCAGTAGATCACACTGCACCCACAGTAGATCACACTGCACCTTCAGTAGATCACACTGCACCCACAGTAGATCACACTGCACCCACCGTAGATCACACTACACCCACAGTCGATCACACTGCACCTTCAGTAGATCACACTGCACCCACAGTAGATCAGTCTGCACCTTCAGTAGACCACATTGCACCTTCAGTAGATCACACTGCACCCACAGTCGATCACACTACACCCACAGTAGATCACACTGTACCCACAGTAGATCACACTGCACCTACAGTAGATCACACTGCACCCTCAGTAGATCACACTGCACCCACAGTAGATCACACTGCACCCACAGTCGATCACACTACACACACAGTAGATCACACTGCACCCACAGTAGATCACACTACACACACAGTAGATCACACTACACACACAGTAGATCACACTGCACCCACAGTAGATCACACTGCACCCACAGTAGATTACACTACACCCATAGTAGATCACACTACACACACAGTAGATCACACTTCACACACAGTAGATCAAACTGCACCCACAGTAGATCACACTGCACCTTCAGTAGATCACACTACACCCACAGTAGATCACACTGCACCCACAGTAGATCACACCACACCCACAGTAGATGACGCTACACCCACAGGAGATCACACTGCACCTTCAGTAGATCACACTGCAACCACAGTAGATCACACCACACCCACAGTAGATGACGCTACACCCACAGGAGATCACACTGCACCTTCAGTAGATCACACTGCACCCACAGTAGATCACACTACACCCACAGAAGATCACACTGCACCCACAGTAGATCACACTGCACCCACAGTAGATCACACTACACCTTCAGTAGATCACACTGCACCTTCAGTAGATCACACTACACCCACCGTAGATCACACTGCACCCACACTCGATCACACTACACCCACAGTAGATCACACTACACCCACAGAAGATCACACTGCACCCACAGTAGATCACACTACACCCACAGAAGATCACACTACACCCACAGTAGATCACACTACACCCACAGTAGATCACACTACACCCACAGTAGATCACACTACACCCACAGTAGATCACACTACACCCACAGTAGATCACACTACACCCACAGAAGATCACACTGCACCCACAGTAGATCACACTACACCCACAGAAGATCACACTGCACCCACAGTAGATCACACTGCACCCACAGTAGATCACACTACACCTTCAGTAGATCACACTGCACCTTCAGTAGATCACACTGCACCTTCAGTAGATCACACTGCACCTTCAGTAGATCACACTACACCTTCAGTAGATCACACTACACCCACCGTAGATCACACTGCACCCACACTCGATCACACTACACCCACAGTAGATCACACTACACCCACAGTAGATCACACTGCACCTTCAGTAGATCACACTACACCTTCAGTAGATCACACTACACCCACAATAGATCACACTGCACCCACAGTAGATCACACTGCACCTTCAGTAGATCACACTGCACCCACAGTCGATCACACTACAACTTCAGTAGATCACACTACACCTTCAGTAGATCACACTACACCTTCAGTAGATCACACTACACCCACAGTAGATCACACTGCACCCACAGTAGATCACACTGCACCTTCAGTAGACGACACTGCACCTTCAGTAGATCCAACTACACTTTTAGTAGACCACACTGCACTTTTATTAGACCAAACTACACCTTCAGTAGATGACACTACACTTTTAGTAGACCACACTACACATTCAGTAAACCACACTACACCCGCAGTGGATCTTACTGCACTTGCAGTATTCCACACTACATCAGTAGACAACACTAAAACTTGATTGATTATTACGCCTGTAGTATTCCGCACTACTGCAGCCTTCTGATCCTGCTCTGTGTTTCAGCGATGGCCTTGAGAGTAGCACAAGTGGCCCAATGGCAGGAGTACAGCCAGTGTCAGCTGAGCAGATGTGCGAGTGAGAGAGATGTGGCGGACAGATTGAGAGTAAGTATACACTATGTTACAGTACATCTTATACAATACAGCATGGCAGGGCATAGGATGCCACTTGGACTTGCTGTTGTTAATTTGTAGAGGCTACACAAGTTTGCTTTTGTATTCTTTGATTTCAACATGCTTAGTCTTAACCTCCTGTTATTGCTGGCTCTGTTACTACTGTGAGATAGTAATCTCATGAAGCATGGAAATGTGTGTGTACTCAACTGATTTTAAATCAATGACGTGTCACTTATATTTCAGGAGCTTGATTCATATCTCGCAGAAAGGGTTTATTTTGTTGGGAATGACCAAAGTGAAGCTGATGTCTCAATATTCCAGTCTCTCATCAACACAGTGGTAAGTAATATATCTCTTGTGTTAAGCTAGGCATCAGACAGTTATTAACAACACAGTAGTAAGTAATATATCTCTTGTGTTAAGCTAGGCATCAGACAGTTATTAACAACACAGTAGTAAGTAATATATCTCTTGTGTTAAGCTAGGCATCAGACAGTTATTAACAACACAGTGGTAAGTAATATATCTCTTGTGTTAAGCTAGGCATCAGACAGTTATTAACAACACAGTGGTAAGTAATATATCTCTTGTGTTAAGCTAGGCATCAGACAGTTATTACCAACACAGTGGTAAGTAATATATCTCTTGTGTTAAGCTAGGCATCAGACAGTTATTAACAACACAGTAGTAAGTAATATATCTCTTGTGTTAAGCTAGGCATCAGACAGTTATTAACAACACAGTGGTAAGTAATATATCTCTTGTGTTAAGCTAGGCATCAGACAGTTATTACCAACACAGTAGTAAGTAATATAACCCTTGTGTTAAGCTAGGCATCAGACAGTTATTAACAACCCAGTGGTAAGTAATATAACCCTTGTGTTAAGCTAGGCATCAGACGGTTATTAACAACACAGTAGTAAGTATATCTCTTGTGTGACTAGCTAACAAGAGTGGAGTGAAAATCTCTCCTTTCCTCCCATCTCTCGATGAGAGAAACATTATATTTCACGAGACACATGGAATATACTATTTATTATATACCATTTGTGTAGTGTCTACCGGAAAATGAAATGATTTCATTACAAATGTGAAACCTTGAAACAAAATTCTCACTACCAAACACAGGGACGGTTCACCACCCCTTGTATTTGAGACTAAAAAAGTAGTTTCTTGTTTGCAAAATCTTTAAAAAATATAAACCAAAGTAACAAAACATATTTTGGGTTACGAAAATTCTGTATCATACACATAGATATGATTATATACAAAATCAACTTCAACAAAAAACGTACTTGAAAACTACGTAAATAATATATTTATTTGTTGGTTAGGTAAGCATTAGACAGTTCTCACCAACACAATGGTAAGTAATATATCTCTTGTGTTAAGCTAGGCACTAGACAGGTCTCAGTAGCACAGTGTTAAGTAATATATCTCAAGTTAAGCTCATACCAACATGGTCTTGACACAAGGTCTCTTCATACTGACTCGCTGCTGCATCATTGAATATTTCAGACAAACCTTGGCTTCCCCGAGAAGGAGACATACAGAAACCTTTCCCGTTGGTTCAATCATGTGAGTACAAAGTAGTGCCTTGATTGATCTTGACCATGTATATTATACTATTAGCTTAATTCTTTGATGAAGTACCACCTCCGTGTTCTAGTGGTAGAGTGTCCTCCCAGAGAATGGCCGCATCGTACCAAAAGACAGTAAAAGATTGTACTTGTTGTTACCCTACCTGGCGCTCAGCATTAATGGGCTAAAACAAAGACTGGTCAGCTCGGAGTCAGTATACTGTGTCTGAGTGGGGTATTCATGTTAACCTGCGGCATGGTATCTCAGTGGGCTAGCACTATCGGATCGGCATCAGTCCGGACTAGTACAAGCAGCCACACAGACATGTGCATACACATCGCTATATAAGTGCAATAATCTTGGATGCAACGTTTAGCCCCATTTCACCTCACCTCACCTTTGATTAAGTAAAACATCAGCTTTAATATCCTAAATTAGATTTTGATATGTGTCATGCAGGTCTCTTAGCAACAGACATGTGTGTTGGATGTAAAGCAGGCCTTTTTGGATGAAGGATAGAGTGGATGTGGGATATAGTTGCCTGGGTGTGATATATAGTTGTGCTTGAATATGATATAGCGTTGGCTGGGTGTGATATAGGGTTGCCTGGATGTGATATAGAGTTGCTTGGATGTGATATGGTTGCCTGGTTGTGGTATGGAGTTGCCTGGGTGTGATATAGAATTGGATTGGATTACCTCCCCTGGAGTATGTTGTGTGAAATCACATGCTGTCAGTGATTTATAAAAAATATCGAAATATCTACTCACGCAAGGGGGCATAGAAAGTTACCAAACAACATGGGAATATCTCTAGAAGCCTGGCGAGCAAGAATCGGCAGATTTATTCCCTCAAGAGGACTCCGACAAGTAGAAACAATTCTACCTTACAACCCCACAACACAATGGACGCCGGGTATGGACATGGCTTATTGCCTTCGTCTCTGTACCACACTCCTACTTTGTGTATGGAATGTAGGTGAAGCTACAGCAAGTACAATGGAAGCAGCACTGCCTACACTTATTCCCCCTGCCCAGGTATGTTCCGATGATCGATTTTGTCACAACTATATGAGCAGAGCCACATTGTTTACATATCGAATACTGAACAATGCATTTGACAGCAGCGTCTCACCACCTATATCACTACTACACTTAGCCGGAGATGTAGAACCCAACCCAGGCCCCACAAACACAGAGTCAGATGCTTTAAAAGATGCAATTATTAAACAGATTAAGGAATCTGAGGATAGGCTGTCTAAAGACATTAACTCTCTCAAAGATGAAATCCACTCAATAAGAGAGGAGGTTAGCGGGTTATGGAAAGAGGTGGACAATACTAAAGAAACACAAGTTATCCTACAAGCTGATATTGATGCTCTAGCTGATAGAATGGAGGATATTGAAACTTTTTGTCAGTCTATAGATGAACTAGAAACTAAGGTTGAACAACAAGAACGACAAAGCAGACGGAACAATGTCATATTTTATGACGTACCTGAGGGTGTATCTGAATCATACAGGGTGTGCAAAGAAAAAGTTATTGAAATCATTAACACGGCCAGAGACAAGAAAGACAAGTCCCTACAACTCTTATCCCCAGGAGATGTAGAACGTGCACACAGAATAGGTGTGAAAAACACTAATAAACCTAGACCCCTCATTGTAAAGTTATTACACTGGGATGATAAAATGCAGGTTACTGGAATGAGGGACAATTTGCGGCAAATGGGGTATGGTGTTGCAAATGACCTGACCTCCTATCAACGTCATGAACTGAATAAACTGAGAAACGAAAATCCGGACAAACATTTTTATTATAAAGGAAATAAGATAATGGAAGATGTGAGACGCAGTACAGAAGCAGATACCGGTATATCAAGAGTAGAATCAGATAGAGGAAAAAGACAGAGTGGTGATATATCTGTCCCCGAGACAGAAATGAGTCAGGAATCAGAGAGATACACAGAACGAGATGAAACCAATATGCAGAGTAGACCAGGGTCAGAGAGGAGCAATACAACAGTGAGCGCAGTGCATAGAGACTTAGGCAGAGACAAGGATTCTGATTGGCGCAGGGATCGTGTATATGATGACAAGAGACAGTCGGGAAATGAAACGAAGAAACTGTCTGACCGTAAATTAAGAGACAGAAACAGGCCCATAGACAGGAACAGTAGATACAGATAAATAAGGGTGCGGCCAGGGCCTTCGTGATTGTACGAAACTTCGTTCAACGCCTCTCACAAAACTCACGCACAGGTGGAGTTTTTATTCTGGAATGTGTCAGGACTCTATTCCAAAATTGATGACTCTGACTTTATTGATTTTATTAAATCATGTGATATCATTGGTTTAACTGAAACATGGATGAAAGATTTTGATTTGTATTCATTTTTTGGAATTTATGATATATGTAAAAGAAGCTGAAAAGATATCGGCAACGGGCAGATGTTCTGGAGGTGTTATAGTTCTTGTTAAAAAGAATCTATCTGCTTATGTCAAGGATATAGAGGTGTTTGACAGTGGAATTTTACTCTTATTGGACAAACAGCTCTTTGGACTTAAAAAAGATATTTTATACTCTTGTGTTTATATACATCCAGAGGGATCAAACTGGTATTCTAATCTGTTAAGACAGTATAAGAATGGTGTAATATACCTACAAGAGAAGCTTCTTGAGGTTCTAATGAAATATAATGATGTATATATGTTTATTGGTGGCGATTTTAACGCCAGGACGGGAACAGAGGCTGATTTTATAGAGGATGATATTATTGAGTATGTTGAAGGTAATGACGGTTGTTTTGGGGATTTTTTGTTAGATAAATTCTCACTGAAAAGATATTCAGTGGATAAGTGTGTCAATAATTTTGGCAGATGTTTGTTAAATCTATGTGCTGTATTAAATGTTCACATAATGAACGGAAGATGTGATGATGATCAGGGAGTTGGTGACTATACTTTCATTGGACATAATGGGGCCAGCTTAATAGATTACGTTTTATGCTCCCAAGAGCTTTTTCCAAATTGCAAAAAGTTTGCTGTTCTTTCGCGAGCAGAATCATCACACCTTCCACTTAATTTATCTTTACGAGCGCTTTATCACAGTGAACGCCACGCTGATAGTAATTCCAAAGATTTGAGCTATAAGTTTAAGTGGGACAGCACTAAGAAAAACTCCTTTTGCGATAATTTACAATCAGATAGGGTTCAAAATTTGTTGGAGGAATCCATAGATGTAGCCTTTACAAACATAGTTGAAAGTATTAATTGTTTATCCCGGGCTTTGTGTACGGCAGCAGAAGGAATGCGGAAACTTGTTTGTGGTACTCCAAAAACTAGCAAACCTTGGTATGATTTTGAATGTGAACTCTACAAAAAGGAAAGATGTAGGGCATTAAATAAATTCAGGACACTTAAGGACACCCAGTCTTTGCAAGAGTATAACTTCGCACGGAATAAATATAAGGCAGTTTGTCGTAAACGAAAAGAAGCATATAACGGAGAGAAATTAAAACTATTAGAAAATTCCATCGATAACCCCAAAAAGTTTTGGGAAGTGTTAAAAAGTTTAAAATGTACTAACTAAACGTTTAATACGATAAAATTGGAAGACTGGTTTAATCATTTTAAGGGATTATTTGACGATAGATCAGAAGAGAATGGCTCAGATGTTAATGATTTTCATAATTATTTTGAGTCAGTTTTGGAAAATACTGTTGAGAATGATATTACAAGGGATATCTTAGATTTACCAATTTCAGAAGATGAGATAAAAGTAAGCATTCGGCATCTTAAAAATAATAAATCTGCAGGAATAGATAACCTTATCCCGGAGTTTTTCAAACACGCTGAAGATTTATTAACGCCATACCTACTGGTAATGTTTAATTTAATGCTTGAAAAATCTTACTTTCCTAAATGTTGGGATGTTGGTATTATCATACCCCTATTCAAGAATGGTGACCCAAATATGACTGACAATTATCGAGGTATTACACTTCTTAGTATATTTAGTAAAGTTTTCTTGTATATGATCAATAAAAGACTAGTTTTTTGGTCCAACGCTACAGATAAAATCACTGAGGCACAAGCAGGATTTAGGGAAGGATACTCAACCACGGACAATATTTTTATTTTGAATAGTCTCATTCAGCGCTATATATCAAGCAAAGGGGGCAAATTTTACGTTTTGTTTGTTGATTTCTCTAAAGCTTTTGATTCTGTGGATAGAAGTAAATTATGGATGTTATTTACCAAGCATGGCCTGAGCAGTAAAATGGTAAAACTATTGTGTAGCATATATAAAAATGTAAAAGCATGTATAAGAAATAACGGTGTAATGTCCACCGCTTTTGACTGCAGCATTGGTGTACGCCAGGGATGTATACTTAGCCCTTTTTTGTTTGTCTTCTTTATTAATGAACTAGCTACAGCTGTTCACCAGAACTGTACAGATGGTATACAACTTCATCCAGACATTGTCAAGCTTTTCCTTCTGTTTTTTGCTGATGACATTATCATGTTTTCTAGTACGGTGAAAGGATTACAGAAACAAATAGCAGAATTAGAAGTTCGTTGTGATAAGTTTAATTTGAAAATTAATACAAATAAGACAAAAATCGTTGTTTTCAAAAAAGGTGGCAAATTATCAAGGTTTGAAAAGTGGTTATTTAAAGGTCAGTGTTTAGAAGTAGTTAAGGGTTATAAATATTTAGGTGTGTATTTTTCCAATACGTTGGCATGGAATACACACGTAAATAATGCTGCTGTACAGGGAAAGAAAATATTGTTGGGCATGTTCAGTAGTTTAAAAAATGTTGGGGCTGTAAGCTATAGAATATACTTCAAAATATTTGACACGAAAATTAAACCCATTCTTTTATATGGGGCAGAAATTTGGGGATTTACACAAATAGATGCTCTGGAAAAAGTTCAGTTATATGCTTGTAAGAAATATTTAGGAGTTAAAATGAATACCCCAAACGTGATGGTTTATGGTGAATGTGGACGAGCCCCTTTGTGTATAGAAGCACGTCTGAAAATAATAAAATATTGGATAAGACTACTTAATATGCCCTCCTCAAGATTCCCTAAGAAATGTTACAATATAATGTGTTTGTATGATAGCAATGGCAAAACAAATTGGGTAACCGACTTAAGGAACCTGCTGAATAATTGTGGTTTTGGTTACAGTTTTAAATTAGAACATATTGCTTATCCGAAGTTGTTCATAAATGCTATAACACAAAGATTAAAAGATTTATATTTTCAGTCATGGAATGCAACTCTAACGCGTTCACCAAAGTCCCTGTTATATAGCAGTTTCAAGTCATATATCATTGCAGAGCAATACCTTTTCAGTGTTAGCCTTAGAAAATTTAGGGTAGCACTTGCAAGGTTCCGATGTTCATCACACGATCTTTTAATTGAAAAAGGTAGATATCAAAATATTCCGAGAGAAAATAGACTCTGTCCACTATGTGACCTAGGATTAATTGAGGACGAGTATCACTTTTTACTAGGATGTCCGCATTATGATGAACTAAGAAAAGTATATTTACCAAAATATTTTCATATAAACCATTGTACATTTAAGTTTAAACTATTACTGACGACTAGCAACATCGAAACCATAAGAAATCTTTCTATGTACATATATCATGCTTTTATACAAAGAAAATCAAGTTTGGAACTTATATGATTGTACCAATTGCTCCTGTAATCATGATTGTACTATAGGCCTGTGGCCTCCTCAGTACGTTGAATAAAGAAATTGAATTGAATTGATATAGAATTGCCTGGATGTGATATAGAGTTGCCAGGGTTTGATATGGAATTGCCTGGATGTGATATAGAGTTGCCTGGGTTTGATATAGAGTTGCCTTGGTTTGGTATAGTTGCCTGGGTGTGATAAAGAGATGCCTGGATGTGATATATAGTTGCCTGGATGTGAAATGGAGTTGCCTTGATGTGGTATAGAGTTGCCTGTATGTGAAATGGAGTTGCCTTGATGTGATATACAGTTGCCTGGGTGTGATATATAGTTGCCTGGTGGTGATATAGTTGCCTTGGTGTGGTATAGAGTTGCCTGTATGTGAAATGGAGTTGCCTGGATGTGATATAGTGTGATACAGAGTTGCCTGAATAGAGTTGCCTGTATGTGATATAGAGTTGCCTGGGTGTGATATAGAGTTGCCTGGGTGTGAAATGGAGTTGCCTTGATGTGCTATAGAGTTGCCTGTATGTGATATGGAGTTGCCTGGGTGTGATATAGAGTTGCCTGGGTGTGATATAGAGTTGCCTGAAGGAGATATTAAGTTGCCAGAATGATAGCGATACCTTGGTGAAGAAAAATTTGTAAATTCTGAATATTTGTATTTTCTATCATTATATTCCTATTTATTTTCAGATACAAAACAAGACACTGGAGGATTCTCAAACACCGGTTGTGTTCCTAAAGTCTCCCATCTACCTTCCACCACTTGTATGACACAGCAACATGGCATGAAGCTGTCCACCTTGATTCCCAGATTAAACACGAGAAACAACAATTACTTCTTTATTGTATCATTACTGTAGTTGGAACTGGCAGTTTCTTACTTCATTCAGAGGGTACATGGTTTCACCACTAGTCTCTTATTTAATGATGTTTGTTGTTGTTGTTGTTGTTGTTTAACCTAACACTCATCAGTCTAGAACCATGTACATTATTGAGTCTAGACTAGACGAGCCAGTGACTGATATGTGAGAGACTGACTGAATTTCCGAAAACCAAACATCATGTTATGAGAGATTATGAGAGATTACATGAAATCCATTGATCTTTGGTTTCAAACCACGTTTCATAATAAATCTGTTTCACTCATTTCTCAATTTACATGTGTCAATACCGAAATCATCACCAGTTCGTATCCACATCATTTCACATTGTGGAGGGGGCCACGGGAGGCCCAATCGTCTAAGGCGCCAAAATTCGCTGCGCAGAGTTGCATCCCTTTGGTGCACCAGAAACCTATGATTGTGGGTTCTAATCCCGGTTCACACCGATAATGTTTGTAGGTTTGTCAGAACCATACACATGCTTGTGGTTTCACCAAAGGGGTAAATGTCCGGCATCACTACGGGCTTTCCCGAAGCTGACACGCCATGATGTATCCAGAATACTGTTAAAAGTGGTGGTAAAGCAAACTCTCTCTCACTCAGTCACTGTGCAGAGTTGCATCCCCTGGGCGCACCAGAAACCTACGATTGTGGGTTCGAATCACAGTTCGCACCTATTATGTTTGTAAGCACTATACACTCGTGGGTTTCACCAAAGGGGCATTACTTCGGGGTTTACTCCCACATGAAGCTGACACCCGTGATATAGCTGGAATACTGTTAAAAGTAGCGGTAAACCAAAGTCACCGACTCGCTCACTGTATGGGCATAATCGGTTATCTTGTCCCACTGACGCGTTAGATAGTGCTGGCGGATTTTTCAAAAGTCGTCCTCATGAGGAGTTGTGCCGAATTCTAAAAGCGCTCAAATTGATGGCGATCTTAGATCTTATGTAGAAAATGGCAAAGAGACAACTTAAAAGAATCATAACTTAAGTTGATGCCGTGAGAACAAAAAAAGTATTTTTGAAATCAACCCTTCCCCATATCACATTGAAATTTACATTAGAAATTCATAGTGCATTGTACAAGATTATTCATAAATGACTAAACATTTGCTTATATCATTTGAATGTGAAATATCCTTATCTCACCGCCTGCAATTTCTAATGACTGAATGGTTATATGTCTACACATTCCTTTGAAGAACAAGGGTACATTTCACAGTCATAATGTAGATAATAAACAGTTAATAATGGAGAATACACATATTTCTCTCCTTGTTAAATAACAGACAGCCTGAAATAGGTCTGCTTACACCTTTAAGTAATTCAAACGAAGAAAATGTGCCGGAGATAACCATTTAACAAATAAGTCTTTGAAAGGCATTTAGAAGTGATACACATAAGGAAGAGAATTTATGGATGTCAAATTCTTTATTATGAGGAACACAACGTTTCGGAGTATATGCTTACTACTTACTCCGTTGTGTTCCTCATAATAAAGAAGTTGACATCCATGCATTCTCTTCCTCATTAAACAAATAGTTCTTCAAGCATGATAAAGGCATGATTCCTTCCAGTAACATTATTTGAGGATTAAGACAAAACAAGCTTATCTTCATAAAGTTAAAGTTTCATAAAAACTTGCTGTTTACCCTGTCAAGACATGTTCCTGCCCAACTGTGGTATCTATATCTCTGCTACACCCAGTGGTTTGTTGGTTTGTTGTTTAACCCCGATTTGGCAATATTCCAGCTATATGATGGCGGCCTGTAAATAATCGAGTCTGGGCCAGACAATCCAGTGATTGATATCATGAGCGTCGATCTACGCAATTGGGATCGATGACATACATCAACCAAGTCAGCGAGCCTGACCACCCGATCCCGTTAATCGCCTCTTACGACAAGCACAGTCACCTTTTTGCGGCAGACATGGGATGCTGAAGACGCTACTCCCAATGCACGATTTTTATATTGACTGCGGGATGTCCCGTAATGTTTTCCTTATGGATTCCCGATTCGGAACAACCCGGACTAACAGCCCTGCCATAATGTGCTTGAGCCCATTTTCCTCTTTCCCAGGCCCAAATTCTCAGTCATGGCCGAGGAGGATATTTAACCGAAAGAAAAATCTGATGCAACATTTACCAACAATTTTATATTTGAAGCATACTATCCATGAACTGTTAGGAAACAGACGTAAAACATATCTTGATGGCGCCAACAGCATACCCGTGGGATTAAACCAAACTCACTCACTCACTCACTCTACATGTAGTATTCTCGTTTTAACTGCAATCACTTAGTCAATGTAGTGATTTCCAATGGAACAGTTTGTTTGACATATTGAAAATGTCACTTCCCATTATTTGGCCATTTCCACACATTATTCAGCCATGTTTGCATGTATAATTATCAAATTTATATTCAGTAAGTGTGTTGTGTGGAATTATCATATAGTAAAATGTTTGGCCTGTTGTTTCACTCGTTATAGCCTTTGGTCCTCAACGACGAACAATATGCCTTCATCAAGGTAACGAAATTGAGTGAAGCAATAATTAACAGAAGCATTATTTGGAACCTGCAAAATACTAGGTTTCGCATTTCAGTTGCAATTTGATTTGACAAGGGTGACTCGGGATTGTGACAAGTAACCTTCTTGTTGGAAAGATGCATGTATCACGTTGTAGGCCATTTATCATTATGCTAATCCATTGAGGTGCTGCCTTGTACGTAGTGTCATTAGCTGGGAGGTATCCTTCGTATCGTGGATATTCCCGCGATTGATAAACAGCCCCATTCAGTCCTGAAAAAAGCGTGGGCTCCCAACACCGACTTGACTTCTACCAGACACATGGACATAGTTGCCAGTATAAAACTGTAACAGAATATATGTAGCCAGAAGCAATAACACACAAAGACACAACCACAGACAGACACACACTCATTCTCTCTGCCCACAATCCTAAGACATACCACATCATTCGAGAAATGAAAATAAACTCTTTGCTATTGTCAGTTCATTTATCAAATAACTATTTACATTCGCACCAACTGGAATTCAGGAATATATGTTATGTGTATTTCTCGACGCTGAAAAATCCTACGATAAGATCTGGAAGCAAGGTTTGCTTTTCAGACTACATGAACTTGGTGTGAAAGGTTACATTTTCCGTGGAATATTCGTTTCAAATCAATCCCGGTACATGTTAGATGAGATATCTCAGCTGTTCGGAAATTGGGTTTAAACCAAACTCACTCACTCACTCACTCACTCTACATGTAGTATTCTCGTTTTAACTGACAATGGCAACCCTCAACGAAGTGTAACAAGTCTTGCAGTTTTTAACGGTTGATAAATAATTCCTCCAGTGACCTGTCTCTCAACATTGAGGCCTCCCAGTTACTGATGACAGACACTTGTGGAGAAGATATGGTCATGTTCCATTCACGATTCCATTCAGAAATGTTTGGTGTTTCAGTAGGGATTAAAGGTCTCCGTCACAAGGAGAAGGATACCTTAACATATTTATGTTAAGTTTGATGATCGTCATATTTCTTTTGTATCTGAATTCTAATTTTATTTTATATTGAGCGGCGGCTTACTTGGACCATTCATATTCAAACTCACCTTCAAAACGTAACGAAATAATATATCTTTTGAGTTTGTAATTGAGACTGCCAGGTGCAAATATGTCTTCCATGTTGATTTTATTCAAGTCTCTATGTTTTATGTAGGTTGGATTATGGGTGTCCCAGTTATATGAATGTTTAAACGGCCTTCTGTTCAAACTTGACGTTACACAATCTGAGGTGTTGTGAGTTTGTACAGGAGCCTTCCCAACTACTCCAGTTTCATCTATGCTACTTGAATATTCTATTATGTTTCTATTACCATAGTCAGACTTTGTCTTTTGAAATATTATCTGAAGGATTTTCCGCATTGTTTAAAGATTCTGCTTTTGGTATCTTGAATGATAATGTTTATGGAATGCGTTTTGTCTCTTTTAGTGAATATGCTATTTGCAAATTGTATGTACAACCATTTTGGGTGACATATCCATTGACTAGCTAAAAAATATGTGGTAATTGGTGTGAATCTTGTTGATCCAACGTCATTGGCCAGATCTTCTCCATAGTGTCATAGTCCCAAAATACATCATATTTTCTTCTATTTTTTGTAAATAATTTTGACTTTATAAAATAAGACTAAACATCATATTTTGGGTATGTTACTTAATAATTTGTGTACTACAATTAACTATCAGTCGGTTTTTGAATACACCGGCCTTCACTCACAAGGTTGGGTTGATAAGCACTATGTATTAAGCGTTAAGACTACATTGTGTAGTCGAAAGGCATTATGTATTAAGCGTTAAGCCTACATGCATGTTCCGTCCAAAGTTATTATCAGTCGGTGTTGATATACGCCTGCCTTCATTCCCAAGATTTAGTCTATAAGCGTTATGAGCTAATTGTTAAGACTACATGTGTGTAGTCGAACGGCATTATGTATTAAGCGTTAAGACTACATGCATGTTCTGTCCAAAGTTATTATCAGTCGTTGTTGATATACGCCTGCCTTCATTCCCAAGATTTAGTCTATAAGCGTTATGAGCTAATCGTTAAGACTACATGTCCAGCGTGAGAAGTAAACATTATTCTATGATAACGCGCTCTCCAAGAAAACTTATGTAATTTTAGTCATTTCTGCATACTCATGTCCTTCAAAACTGAGAGGTAATCTCTGAAATTCAGATAGTCAGCATGTTAGATTAGCGACATTGTGTAGATATTGTTTAAGTAAGTGATAATTGAAAATGCGACCGTATCATGACCTAAGAGCATCAGTGGTATAAATAACGGCCTTTATTCCGGGTACCTCACTGTTGAGACACACGGAATAAAGACTGGCCACTAATAGATGCTTCTCTTGGTTGTTTTAAGG